AAAATAAACTAAAAAAATATAAAATAAACAAATAATAAATTTTTGCGAAACTTTGAACTATTCATATTTTTATATATTAATGCATATATAGATATATATATATATAATAGTTGATTCATATAATAGTTGGCTTTTGTGAAATTTTTTTATGTTAAATACTTTAAGCATATTTAACTTTTTTTTATTTTTGTAATACTTTTTCTAGCTCTTGCCGAGAAATCTAATCCAGCAGCCTTAAAATATATAATTGAGACGCAATGCTAGGCGCATGTTGAACCGCAAATATATAATAATATAATAATATAATAATATAATAATATAATAATATAATAATATAATAATATAATAATATAATAATATAATAATATAATAATATAATAATATAATAATATAATAATATATTAATATAATAGAATATTAGAATAATAGAATAATCTATGATAGATCCAAGATTTTGATTTAGGTTTTACTGTGACAACTGTCTTATATAGATACAATATAGAAATAAGTTTGAGCAACTCTGGCTCAAGATTTGAAAGAAAATTGCTCAAACTTATTATATATATATTTATATATATATATATTCACATAAAGTCCAGTAGAGCTCTCGTTACTGTTGTGTTACGTATTAGATGCAGAAAACGAAATACCCTAGCCAGCAGTGCATAGATAGTCTGACGAGCAGGCTAGGGGTATTGCGAAGTAGGAATTCGGGGGTTGTTTACACTCTTCATGATGCATGTGTGTGTGAGTGTGTGTGCGTGTGTAACATGTGGCACGTTCTAATGTGGTTTTTACTGCCCGGAAATTTCAATGTGTCGCGTCCTTAGAGATTTTTACATAGCTCTGTTTTTGCTCTCGGTCTCGGTCTCGGTCTCGGTCTCGGTCTGGATCTATTTCCGTTTTTATGGCTTCGCCTTTGTCTGCGCTTCTATTTTCATCGGGTGTTGCGCTTTGCCGTGCGCTTCGCATTGCATTGCTGCCAGTTGGCAGTGACCTTGAACAGCTGCTGCTTCCCTGCAGCATACCCGACGTAGTTCGCGTCTCGCTTCCTCTGCTTCTTTCTTCTAACTTCTCGAACATGCGACTCATCACATCGGGGCGTATCAGGCAATGCTATTGACCTCTCGCCTTTCGAAATGGCGCCGAAATAGACAGCTGCTCGCTTGACGCAACACTGAATACCCTGTAATTTCTAATTTCTAAAACTACAAAATTCAAAGGAATTTGTTTTATGTTAAGCCGATTTTACAGGGTATTACTTAACTCTTTCTATTAGAAAATAAATCAAAATTCATAATCAATCCCCCTCACCTGGCATAGTTTAAGATTACAGGGTATTCAACTAATATTTATCCACGTTTTATTTATTTATTTTGTCACCTTAACATAGTTGCTGGCTTACCTGTCAACAATGGCGTATCATATCAATTTACAGGGTATTTTGCAAATGTTTACATTGTATAAATAAAGCCTAGATTCGTTATCATCGTATTGAAATCATTGGAATTGTAGTGATTGCTACACATCTGTCTTTCATAACATAGTATTATCATAATAATACAAATTACAGGGTATACAAAGTTACAAGTTGACATTGGTATACGTTTGTGTTGCAGGCATGCTTATAAAACTTTTCTTTTTAAATGATTTTGCCTTAAGTTTGTATTTAAGTGTATGTTTATGAATTACAGGGTATGTGTGGCCGTTTCTGTTATAATAAATTCCAGTAAGTCTCTCGTTACTTTAGCTTGAGCTGAAGTATCTTATATTAAACATTTCATATATAGCTATGACCTCTTTTTTACACTTAAGCCTAAAATTACAGGGTATATGTATGTAGCCCAGCATACTGATAGCTAACTGTAATTTAATTAACAGTATCTGAATCCTTTTTCCCTGTGGATGCGCTCCACTAACTGCAGTAGACCTCGGAGAACAAAAAATTGCAGGGTATATATACACCAGATATACCCTAGAATTTTGCCAACTGCTTTGGCAAGAAATTTGCAAACATATTTCATAATAACTTTTCTGCTGCTTATCTTCTTTAGCTCCGTTTCCAGTCAACTCGGCGGGTGCGCCATCGATTACAGGGTATAGCCCAGATTATGTTACACAACAATTACGTGCCCTCGTTACGCGCCCGACTATCAGCCTATAACCTCTCGAGCAGGAAATCGAATGCCAAAACACATTTGTGGCCGACGTCAATTTGAGATTAGGACGCTTTTTCTCGATTCGAACTCGAATTCGAAGTCGCAACTGGGGCACGGAAATTGGATGCCGATTGGGTGGCACTCAACGAAGCAGCTACTTGGCTAGCTGTAAGCGATCCGCATTGTGGAAACCAACTGTTCAGTTAATATGCAACACGCGATTTTTATAGGGTAGCAAAAGCTGCTATGCGAAATTAACAAATATCAATGAACCGCCCACGCTGCATGCACAAATGAAACCAGGTCGATTACCCATGCATTAGCAACTCTCTATAAATATATATATATATATATATATATATATATATATATATATATATATATATATATATATATATATATATATATATATATATATTGGGGTAGATGAAAAGATTTCAGTGTTGACAAAAGATCTTCGAAAATCTAAAATTTCTTAAGGCTCTGCTCAGGATATATCATCTAAAAAACTAGAAAGCTCTAGTCGAAATGGCTCGACGAGGCGATGCCCTGAACCCTGTTTCCTGATACGAGCTCTGCTTACTCTAGTCTTGTCTCTAGTCTCTAGTATTTGAATCGATATCGATTTTTATTGATCATAGAGAATTAAGATGAGTTATCGAAAAAATATACAAGCTTGCACTGCATTTGGTATACACTAGTATAAATTACAAACTTCAAATCTCTAGCTTCTACAGTTTACGGGAATTCCCAGTCTCAGGGTATACAAAACTTTATAAATAAAACTTTATAGATAATAATATATATATATATATATATATATATATATATATATATATATATAGATAATAATATATAATATATAATATAGATAATAATACCGATCCATACATAAAGCTTAACTTTTAATCAGATAAGGTTTATACTAGTTTGATTTAGTAGCAGTTGATAATACCAATGACATTTGATGATATTATGTGATGTCAATAAGCTTATTTCTTATATAAACAGATATTTTTAGAACTACTGCAGATTATATTTTGGATCCCAATCTAAATATTAAAACTAGCTATGACAGAAAACGAGCATCGAACTGTTTTATAGATACTATAATATGAACTGTATATCTTGAGATAAGTACTGCTATATAAATACCTTCTATGGCCTCTTGAACTAAAAATTCCATAAAAGATAATACTAATTGCACCTGCTCTAAATTCTAAAATAGTTCCAACTATAGTGAAGCAAACTGAATGATTTCTACTACTACTAACTCAGGCTGCAACTATATCATGTTTCAGGCATATAGCTCTAGTAAAAACTCAGTTCAGATAGGTCTATGGTGGGCTTAGCTTTGAGCTATTCTAAGAATATACAATATATATAAACTTCAAAAGTTCAATGCTCACTTTCACAGCGAAACGAGTATATATATATAGATATATGTATATATATCTATATAGTTTTGTGTGATGAGGCAATGTCAGAGAAGTCAATTGAAATGGAAAAAAGTCTGCAGAGCCAGGCATCCCAATTGCTGTAGGGCACACGTAGATTAGACGAAGAGACGCGACTGATAAGAGGCGGGCTCGATTAGAGACTAGTTCTATATGTAGCCAGAGAGAGACATATATATACATGTGTGTGTGTGTGTGTGTGTGTGTGTGTGTGTGTGGAGAGTGTTATGTGATCTATGTCGTACTATTTTGGGTGGTTGGACTTGTCCGCCCATGCCCAGGCGTTGAGACAAATTAGCGCCTCAATGACAATGATAGCCCCTCAAGGTGCTTTCAATTTAGGCAATTACGCAACTGTAAATGGAATTGGAATTGGAATGGAAAGTGGAACTCGGAATGGGAATTAGAATTGGAACGTGGGCGGCAAATACCTAGGCCCAGATCTATAGAAGACTGGGCTTCGCAATCAAGAAACGACCTCAAATTGAGCCGCATTAAATGATGCTCGCTTAATGAAATGTCAATATAAATTTTATTTTCATTTTTAATCTTTCGATTCGATTGGGTTTTATTTTTTTATTGCCAACCGCACAGGTTGCGATCCGTTTGATTGAGGGTCGCTCGTCGTCAGACAACCTCAAGGCAAATTGGCTGGCAACGACGACAACTTTCAAACTAGTACAAAAGTTCTAGCCAGCAACTCGACTGTAAGATACCCCTTAGCCAGCTCTTATGCTCAAAATGAAAGTAGCTTTGAACCAATTCGAGGTCACTTGGAGGTAAATAAGCTAATACTATATGCTACTCGATATTTTTCGATTACAGGGTATTACAAGTCGCATTGCAGCTTTCACTCTATAAAAATATATCACATATACTCTGACGACCTGTTGCTAATTTCCAGTTAAGAAAATGATTTCATTTTCAATATATTTTGATTACAGGGTATGGCAAGTCGTTCCGAGATAGCAAATTTTCTTTGCAATTTCGACTATTTATTATATATAAATATATATAAAAGGCATACGATTTACTTTTAATGCATAAAATCATTTTCTTAACCATTACAGGGTATACCACGTCGTTCTACAGATGAAATTATGTTGTATTTATAATAGTCTCTGCTTCTTATGCTATGTAAACAATCTTAAGTCTAGAAAACAACGTTTTTATACATAGTTTTAGATTACAGGGTATTAAAAGTCGCGTTGCAATGAAACATTTTTCGACTTTTCAAGAATTATTTGACAAAAAACATCAATTTGATGTGCCTAAAAGATGACGTGCTTTATGTCCAAGTATATATGCTCTTATATAATAGCATATATAAAATTTATAGGGTATATGCAGTCGTATGTAGTACACAGCAGTGGACTTATACTGCTGTTAAGTCAACAGAAATGCCGCCAACGTATTACTTAACAACAACATGCCCCATTTGGCACGTTTGCCAATTACAGGGTATCATTTGTCGTTGAAATGTATGTCACAGCACTTACAGTTGCAGTTGCAATAGCAGATATCAATCTGTCGATTAGCCAATATTGCCGCAAAGCTATCAAATTGTAAACCGCAAGAGACCCAACCTCCTCGTCTCTCTCTCCCGCTGTCACTCTGTGTGTGTGTGTGTGCCATACCCAGCACGTTCCATTAGCCAAGTGTTTCATTCCATCTCATGCCATGTCAATGACAATTAATAAGCCGCCTTTTTTATTTATGTGTGGGAAACTTTACTCATGTTCAACTTAGCTTAGCTTACGTATAAAAAAAAATACATATTTTGCTTGTATAATAAAAAAAAAAAGAAGAAAACTAAAGAAATATAAGACATATAAGTAATCAAAGCCAACAACAAGCTGTTTGCCGTTTGTTTGTCTGCTTTGTTTACAAAGCTATGTTTAAACTCCTCACTCGCTCTCTCGCTCTCTCTCTCTCTCCCTCTCTCGCTGTTTGTCTGTCTGTCTCTCAGCAGCGTTGCCAGACTGTTAGCATGAGCAGGGCAAACGCCACACCCGAAGCGGTGCTGGTCAATTGATTAGAATGATTGCAGCCGTCCGTATCGCAAGTGTAGATGCAGCTGCGATAGTCCATGCGATCGCCCTTGTTGCGCACATAGTCGCAATAGTTGCCCAAATCCTTGGAGCTGCAGAAGCGTTTCGCCCCAATGCCGCCCTCGAAGCGGCCCACATGCTTCACGCAGAACGTGGCGCCATGGACGCTCGAACAGTTCTGCGGCTGGATATCAGGCTGATCGAAGCGATCAAACCATTCGCCGCACTGGAACGGATTCTTCGTGTCGCTCGCATCGCATACGTAACACTCGATTGCCAAGGTGCACTGCAGGCGGCAGCAGCACAAAAGCAGCGCAGTCAACAGCAACGCTGGCAGCACTGACATTTTCTTCATTGGTTTTTTTCTTCTGTTTGTTGCGCAGTCGTTGTTGCTTTTCGATTGCACAATGTAGCTAAAGCGATGACGCACTACACGCACGTACTCACATACACACACACACACACACGCACACGCACACAGACAGAAGCTAGAAACGAAGAGACACTGACGAGAGACCAAAGTCGGCGTTGCCAGCAAATGCCAAGCTTGTACTGAAGCGTTGCTTTAACTTCGTTTCTGTTCGTTTCAGTTGTTGCTAGCGAACAGCGCACACACACACTCACTCACACTTGCACACGCACGCATAGGCAGTTAGCCGAGTGCACTTGTATGAGTTGAGCGCTTGCTAGCGCTCTCTTTCGCTCACCTGCTGTTAGACTCGGCTGTTATTCTAGCCCTAGCTGTTTTATCAGCTGTACGATGCATCCTTTAGCTGGCGCCCTCTGGCGTGCCATCTTTGCCGGGCCATTTATCGTTTATCGAAACTTGTTGCTTGGCAACAACCAAGGGAAGGCAACAGGTATGCCACGCTCACAAACACACTCAGAAACTCGCTAACTTGGCTCCCCTTTGGCGTTCTGATTGGAATCTCATTGGAGTTGCTATTGGAAACGTCATCGTTGGGTTCTTTGGGCCCGCTTTGGCGACGTCAGCGAGTTTCGCTGGCAGCCACAGCGAGCACCAACGAGGGCATTCAACTTGACTGAGACAAAAGCTCAACACACAGCCAGAGACACACTCGCACAACAATACAAACAAAGCAAAAACAGCTTTTATACCCTGTACTTATTGGTAATGCACAACAGACATGTGCAGGCAGCTTCGATCTCACTAATCATATTCAGATATATTTCTGTCACATTTTAGCAGACTATATATGTTAAGTCTAATTTTTTTATCGATAGCTTTATTAAGCCTAAAAGCGATAAATGTCGATCACAAATTACTGGGCCTATTTTCTGCGATTATCGATTTTAATTGCCCGATAACGATAACAATCTAGTGTTAATTGTAAAAATTTCTATATACCATATAGTTAGCAGTATAATTTGTTGAGCAGAAGGCATATGATTCAACTATCGATAAATTTGGCTGCCCGCAATCGATAACTACCAATAACAATCAACTATATAAACAATAAACTAAAACTTAAGCATATTAAAAATTCATCAACTGACATTAATTTCTTATTTTTGATAGTTCCTCGTATATCGATGAATATCGATGACAGTTTGAACTATGAAATAAATCAATTTGATAACTGGAATGACTAGAGACTCAAAATGTGGTTATGCCCACACTGTTGAGAGATTCCGTTGTAAACAGCAAAGTACAGGGTATCTCGTATTCGAGCCCTCTCCACTTGATGTTTTCTTGGCAACGAGTCGTGCTGCCCACCAAAACGCCATTGTCAACGATCCGATCGCTAGACAGAGGTTGTGAAATGCAGAAGGTGGAAGGTGGGCACAGAGCTGGGCTCCGAGTAGGGGCCAGCACCCTGCCCCTACCCCAACCCCCCCCCCCCCCCACCATCAAAACAGGGCCAAGCCTTAAAAAAAACCCACACGGCCCAACTTCAGGTTTTCTCTTTATGGTTTATGCTTGATTTCAGCGACTGGCCTGGCCAATGTAGCATGCGACATGCGGCATGCGGCAAGCAGCATTCAACGTGTAGCATGCAGCATGTGTGTGTGCAAGCATTGCTCAATCCGCAGCGTAAGCAAGACATTTTTAATGGCTTTCCATTAAGGATATTCCATTTATATGCAAGAGCTTGACAACGTTTCGAAAAGAACTAAATTAAGATGCAGCTGGAACCGGTTCAGCAAATTCTACATTATCAACTGATCCATTAGAGAATATTCCTATATATTTTATATGCATAAAGTTAAATATATTTATATAGGAATGGAAAACCGAACCGGTTCAAAAAAAAAAAAAAACAAAATCTTTCATCTTCGACTATTTTTTTTTTTTTTTTTTTTTTTTTTTTTTATTTCTTTATTTTGTTGCAGCTTATTGTCTTAGACTCTATAGCGCATTTAGCTCTAAACCTTAACTAATGGGAGGGCAGATATGCCAATTATTCTGCACTTGTAGCTACTATCTTAATTAGTTCTAATATTGTCTAGAGGATGCAATCTCTTCAGTCTTCGCCTATTGTTGTTTATAGCCAGGTTGCTTGCGAGATGGTTAGGATGCGCTGCAAGTCTGTCCGCGTATCTTGAACTGTGTCGCCCAATGAGTTCAGCAACTGTGGGAATTGCTAAATCCCTATGTAAGACTGAGTTTCTTACAAACCAGCTGGCTCCAGTCCATCTGCGTAGTGCTTTATTCTGCAGGGTCTGAATTTTGTTCCTTGTAGTCTTCGCCGAGGAGCCCCATAGAGAGATACCATATACGAAGGTTGGGACAACTATTGCCTTGTAGATGGCGGCCTTGCTGCTGTAAGACAACTTGCTTGAAGCTCTCAGCATCCAGTCGAGGGTTTTTAGCTTGCTTTTGCATTTTGAGGTTACTTGACTTATGTGCGCTTTAAAAGTCAGCCTTCTGTCAAGAGTGATACCAAGGTACTTTACTTTTGAGGCTTTGGGAATAGTGGGCCCCAATGCAACGCTTGGGCAATCTCCTCTTCTAGTGGCGAAGGTAGTATGTACAGACTTTTGTGCATTAATGGTGATACACCACCGTTTTGCCCAGCGTCCGAAAGAGTCCAGATATTTTTGTAGTGAGTCTGAAGCTTCTTGCGCAGATACGTGACGTGATAAGATGGCGGTGTCATCTGCATAGGTCGCTATGAGTACTGCATCTGTACTTCCTATATTTGGCTCGGGAGTTGGCATATCTCCTGTGAATAAAGTATAAAGTGTTGGGCCTAGAACACTACCCTGTGGTACTCCAGCCATAATTGGTCTAGTCAAGGATACTGCTTGCCCCCTTGACACTTGGAAGGTTCTTCCAATAAGGTATGAGGATAGCAACGCGAAAAATGGGGCTGGAAGGGTGGTCCTCACTTTCTGCAGCAGTCCCAGGTGCCAAACTCGATCGACTTCGACTATTATTAGGCTCGGCTTACTCGAGTTTAGGAGGGATGCCGGAGCTGCCTTCCCACATCTCGTCTCTTATTTCGAGTGTACATTGGGAAAATATGGTCATCATCTATTAGTGCTTGTTCTCAGTTCATCAGCGATCGAGTACTTGAGTTTTTCCTTTCTGAATTATCAAGATATCGCTTAGCACTTGAAAACTCTTTCACTTATAAATGGTGCCATAAATATTTAATCTCTGGGTAAACAAGCATTCATGGAAATGTAGATCAAAATAAAAGCTAGAAAAAGAAGATCTTTGAAGTCAGAAATACAAAATTAAAGGTAAAGGAGATAGGAGGCAGCGGAGAAAAGGCAGGAGATAGGAGATAGGAGATAGGAGATAGGAGATAGGAGATAGGAGATAGGAGATAGGAGATAGGAGATAGGAGATAGGAGATAGGAGATAGGAGATAGGAGATAGGAGATAGGAGATAGGAGATAGGAGATAGGAGATAGGAGATAGGAGATAGGAGATAGGAGATAGGAGATTGGAAAATAGGAGATAGAAGATTGAAAGAAACAAAAAAAAAACGATCTTGATGCAAGTGCTGTATGTGCATGTATGCATAGCTTATATCGTGTATATATAGAGTTTTATGAAAACAAGTTGATGATCAACTTTATGGACCACAATTTCTGCGTACGTGACAAATGGAACGATCCGCAGGAGAAGTTGTTCAACATGGAAAGCAAGGCTGCTGCAACAAGGCGATGTACAGTATCTGCAGATGTTGCACTCGCACTCACGCACTCACATACGTAAACATATATATACATATGCATAGATGGCGTATGCTGCCTGCTGGCGGCTTCGTATATAAATCGTGCACTTTGATCTACACACTTGATGACTTTTAGCTGAGGGCATAATTGAAAAGAAAAATAGGCGCCTAGGCTTCCACGTCGCATGCACAAGGAAAGAGAAAGAGCGAGAGACAGAGAGCGAAGGGAGCGCAGCAAAGTCAAAAACAGGGAAGCTGCATGAGGAAGCATAAAAAGGAAGTTACAAAGCAGGAGAGTTGAGTGAAAGAGAACCGTTCATTTGAGTGGAATATGCAAGGCGGTGAATTGAGCGTAAATGCACTAAGCGATGAGCGCAAAGAGCGCAAAACAGACAAAGAGAGGAGGGAATGAAAGCAGCTCGCCGCCAGGCTCAATCAGGAAAACATACATAGAGTTCAGTATTTACTCAAATCGAAATGCAATGCATAGAAAATACACAAACTCACACACATACACACACACCCACATTAATCAATGTCACGTACTTTGGTCCGTGCACCCACAAAGCAAAAAGACAGTTATCGAAATGTTTATCGGTTAACGGGCAAACGTGCGCAACAAAGCTGAGTGAAAGGCACAGACACACACACAACGTACAATGTACAAATATGTACATATCTACATAAGCATACATACATACACACATATGTATGCATGCTTATACACGACAAGTCAGGCTTTAGTTCGGAGTCGGGGGTAATGACAACGCACTTGAATTATTTCAACTTTACGAAAGTGGCGCAGCTTATGGTGGGACCATTAAAAAGGCCAAGACCAGCGAGACGATCATGTTAAAGAAGCAGAAGAAGAAGAAGAAGGAGACAAGACAACACTGAAATTAATATAAAAAATGTATTGTGTGCGTGCTCGACAAGAAGGTACCCTGTAAACTATAAGAAGTTCCTCTATTAACAGAATTATTATTATCATTAACTGTTCTTTTTTTAGTGGAATCATCATTATCATCGTATCATTCTGATTGTCATTAGCGTATTATTTTCTTTGATGACGCATTAGCATCAGCCTTAGGTTATTATCATAATCATGTAATGTGCACTATGACCCTCCACCTGCTTCAGTATTTACAGGGTATTTACAGGCGAATTGCACGCGCTCTGCGCATGATACGACTGCATGTGGGGTAAAAGGGCTGAGGGATATTTTGGAAGGTGGGGCGTGGAGACTTTTGGGCAAGGCATGTCTTAAGGTAGTATCACGCCGCCGACACAGACAGAAAGCCCTATAAATTACGTTGCACACGCGCAGCTCGCAGCCATAAATGTGGTTAAAATGCAAACTACCCCAACCTAACTGTAATCGGAGAGCAGCCATATTGATTGACTGACTGATGAACCGAGCTGATGACTGATGAAAGCTGAGCCATTAACATCGACCGCGCCGTTGCCAAAGCGGGTCATTTTTAGTACGAATGATATGCTAGATCACGTACCCAAACATTGAACAACAACTAGCTCCAATTACAGTGTTCATAAGCGACATAGTAAATACTAGATGTATGGGGACAAATACAGATATAAAAATAACTGTTTAGCAAATTGAATGAGACTGTTTGGCAACACTGTTGTGTTGTTTTTACGTCCCATATGATAAAGTGTTGGAAATGCGTTAACTATTCTGGAAACCATAAAAAGTTTAATTAGTGCTAGAGAAGTATGAAGAAAATATTTATATATTTTTGTATAATTGCCTGATCTACACAATATTTAAAATATGAAATAAAAATTGTGTATATTTATATTTTTGTATATTTATTAAATTTAATTTTTTATTTTTAACCTTTGAATTACGTAGCCTTTATTTTATCAAATAGAAAAAAAAATAAATACTCAATCTTATAGTATTTATAGAGTATAGCAAAGCCGACTTGCTTCAAGCTAAAGTCTCCTCCTTCCTCCTCGTCTCTTTGACTCTTTTAATAAAAAAAAAGCTGGCGAAAAAAATTAAATTCAACACCATTTAAATTACCAGTTTTTCTTCTTACCGCATTTTTATAACAAACCAAAAAAGTTAAAATAAAAAAGTGGTAAGAAGAAGAAGAGAATACCTTACCTTTCAAAATGTGATTTTATATTGAAGACAGGAAAGCGAGAAAAAAGCCAAACGCAACAACAAAACAACAACGTGAAATTCGAAACATTAACAAAAAAACATACATGTACATATATATATATATATATATATATATATATATATATATATATATATATATATATATATATATATATATATATATATATATATATATATATATATATATATATATATATGTATGTATATAAAGAAGTCGAGCAATCAAGCAGAAGTAAGTAGAAGCAGCACTTTGTAACCAACGACGACAAAGCTGAGGTAAATGAGTGCAGCTCAAAACAAAGTTAAGCTCAAGAGAGCGTTAAATAATGCTCAAAAGTGCGTGTACACGAGCGTGTGTGTGTCTGTGAGTATGCTCCAATTTATTTCACTGAGTGCGCGCACAGTTTAATCAAAGCTTACAAGAAAACCCAAAATAACCATAGCTTTAACATAAGAGCGCATGATAGAGTGAGAGGCAGTGAGCGCATAACTCAACGAGAACAAATTGAACATCAGCTATACACATATACACACGCCGCCAAGACGCGCACGCATAGCGTACTTCAGTGCGAGAGTGTATGTGCGCAAGAGAGAGCGCGTAAAAGAGACTGTGAGCAATGAGCGGGAGTGGCTTGAAGCTGAGTTGAGTTGCGTTGCCGTACAGCCGTTGAGCAGTCCAGTTTTGAGCGCAACAGTGAACGTGGCGCGCGCGTGTGAGATTTTTTTGTAGCAGCCGCAGCAGCAGCAGCAGCAACGAAAACGGTACGAAACGAAACGACGATAAGCAAGCGGCGGCAGTCGACGGCGACAGCAGCGCACGCTGGTCTCTGCTCAAATACAGTCGAAAAAGCGAGCTCAAAACAATTTCATTTCAGTTTTTTAACTTCTGTTTTACGTTTGCCGCTGTTTCTGTTACTTCATTTCATTATTATTATTTTTTTTTTGTAACTTGTTTTTGGTTCTCTGTGCATACAATTGCAGTTGTACACTATACTCCTGTGAGCAAACGAACTGAACAAGAAACTGCAGTTAGAACGCGCGTTTATTTGGTTTTTTTTTTTTCATTTTGATTTTGGATTTCAGTTGCGCGTATTCGGCTGCAGCAACTGCAACGCAACGACGCGACGCGCGCGTTTTACGCACAGCTGCAACAGCAACAACAACAACGTGTATAGAAAATAAAATAATATTCAAGAATAAAACAGAGTGCAGCAGCCCTTCAACGGAAACAACAACAAAAAACCTTACAGAAGAACCTGTTCTGCTGCTGCTTTGTCGTATGTGTATGTGTGGCGAGCGCCGCTGTTTATGCAAATTCACTACAACAAGAACGACAACACTCGCACAGCTGGCAGCTGACTGCAGCACAGCAACAACAACAACCACACACAATGAAAGTTCAGTCGAACAGCAACAGCAAACAGTGAAAGAGACCAACGCAAGGGACTTCGAATTTTTTCGCGTAAGTCACAATTCTGCCTCTTTCCATTAACAATCTATTTATGTGTACGTGTGTGTCTCTGTGTCAGAGAGACAAAGAGAATGAGAGAGAGAGCGGCCCAGTGCGCTCTAGGGTTAAGCTCAAGCTCAAGATTAACAGTTCTAATTACTAGTAGTCTAAGCTGCTCTTATGTAAAACATTTAACCGTACCAATTGGGTTCACTGCAGCGTAGACTGCGCTTTAACAATTAACGCTAACGCGTCGAGCTTTAATTGTGCTCGATTTTATTTATGCTTATTGATTTCAAAATGAAAATTAATAAAATATTTTCTTATGAACTTATTTTTAAATTTGATTTAACTAATATAATTTTTTTCAATTCAAATAATTTGTATTAATTTAAAGTTAATTTTTTTTTTAATCATCAGAAATGTAGCCAAACATAACATGACTTTGACTAGAATTTTTGTATAATTTATTTACTTTTTTTACATTTGCAAGAAAAATGTGGATTGAATTATTTTTTTTTCTTAATTTCATAGGCTTTTTTTGTCGCCCCGTTAATTAATCTTAATTATTTCTTCACTTAGCTTGCATTTCTATCTCAATTAGTCTACCCTTTGGCATATCTCTCTTTGTTTTCTTTAAGTTTTCTTTCCACAGCTCTTTTGTTTTCTTTTCTTAAAGAAAATGTTCAGCTGCAGCTTCCTTTTTTTTAATTTTTTTTGTTTTATGCTTCTCTCACGCTTTAAATGCCATGAAAAGATCTCGGCTTGTCTTTATATACACTTGTTTCTATCTCTCTCTATCTCTCGACCTCTCTCATTCGCTTGCTCTGACAATGGGTTTCATCTTCTTAGCATCTGCATTGGCTTTAGCCCAAAGATGTTTCTCATTAGTGTCGCCTTCCACTTGTCAGATGCCTCGCCTCTTCCGCCCCCTTCTCTAGCTCTATTCGCCCGTTCCCCTTGCCGTCCATGCGACGGAAATGGTCAATTGAAGCCGCACAGAGGCAACTCATTGTTTCGATGCGGCGTCCACAGTTCGAATTGTCCCGCTCGCTGAGCAGCTCCCTACTAGTGTTGGTTTTTTACTGTCTGCGGTTTTTACGAACCAAGAACCTAATAAAACATGTGAGAAAGGGTAGCTGATGGCAAAGGGGAGGGGGGAGGGTTAGGCAGTTTATGAAGTACCTGGAAAAACTATAATATATTAAACCCAGCTCAAGCTCAGGTTATTTTTATTAAAGATCTTGAGATTTCATCAGTGTTTTTTTGTCTCTACTGAAAAGACAAATCAAATTACTTTATGAGCCTAGCTATAGAACAAGAAAAATAAGTTAAGCTCTTAATTTAGTAATGAACACACATTCAGTATTCGGTATTCGGTATCAATAAAACTTAACTTCAATAAATATGTAATAAACACCAAACAAAAAGCTTAACTTAAATATTTACAAACAAATCAAATTCTCAAACAATTTTAAAATGTAAGCAAAGAAAGCTTTGCTACTATTTTATTGATGTTACAGAAATATAAAGTTCGTATTCGATCATTAGCTTGATGCTTTGGAAAAGGCTTAATGAGCAGCTGCGCTGGATAGTTTAAATGAAGTGTAGGAGAGAGTTTTTTAGCTAAAGCTCATTAAAGTTTTAAATGTACTTAGCATAATAAAAAAACTTGTGTATGAAATATTTATTAGGTAGAAATGTTAGCTGATCAAAGCTTTATATAAGTAAAGCTTTACGTAAATCTTGCTTAGGTAGTAAATCTTGATTAGGTAGTAAAGTAATGTAAAGTTTTATTAAAGCGCATTAAAGCTTAGTATAATTTAAAACGCTTAGCTTTGACGAAAGCTTAGAATTAGTCTGCTGAGATGCTCATCAAAACATTGAGAACATCAAAAAGCTTTATAAAAGCACTTCTTGGCACATAGGAACAAAGTTCAAGGCAAATTATGAAACATTACTAAGCATATAGCCAAACACTTCGAGCAACTCTCGTTATTTTCCAATTGAAGTTGATGCCATCTGCCAGTTGCAGAGTCATCGAAGGTAGCCAAACAAAGCCACAGGAAAACAGAGAGAAAGAGAGGGAAAGGGAGAGACCGCAACAAAGTGATGCATAGAGCGAGCAAAAAGATGTAGATGCAGGTAGAGAGAGGGCCAGAGAGGGGAGAGGTAAGCACTTCCGCTTGGCCAGCTGCTTACCAACAACAACAAAACAACAAGCCAACAAGCCAACAAAACAATGCAATTAAAGCCAAATGAATTTGTTTTCTAACTTGTGACATCACAAATGAAATGACTAACTGAAACGTCTGTTCAACTCCGACTTCGATTCGGACTCCGACAAAGTATTTATGTTAAGGTTAAACGTGTAAAGCTCTCAACATTCTAATTGCATGACAAACAAACTAACGAACAAACAGATACACAACATAACTAAAAGCGATGCAAATGCAATTAAAACTATTCTAACTGGAATTGGGCGACTAGCTAATGCCCTGTAAAGTCTGACTAAGCCATGGAAAGTAAGACTTGGCTTGACTTGAAGTCAATGCTAATCTCATTATCTCTTATTGTTAAGGCATCATCTACGATGCCTTGATGTATGTGCTATATGAATTTATCCCAGTACCAGTAACTCAGCGTCTTTGACATTATTGCTACCCATTTAATCAATATTAAATGGTAATTATTAGCATTAACTTATTCATTTGCGCTTTTATTAGCATTAGCATTGGCATTGTCATTGTCATTAGTGCATTTATTAGCATAGCACATTAGTATTAGCATCATTATTACCAAGCTTATGTACGCAACATTAATTACAATGATTATTAATGCAATCATTAGCATTAGCATTTGCATCATTATTTTCAAGCTCATAATCATTAAAGTTAACATTATGCAAAGCTAATGCATTAGCATTTGTATTGTATTTATCATTAACATTAACATTAGCATTCTCATTGTCCTTATCATTAGCATTGTTATTGTCATTAGCATTACCATTAGAATTATCACTATCTTTAGCATTAGCATTTTCATTATCATTAGCATTACTATTGTCATTGTTATTAGCATTCTTATTGTCATTAGCATTATCATTATCATCAGCATAGCTCATAAGCATCATTGTTAATCCTTCTTTTTAAATGAATAGTCATTATCATTATCCTTAGCATTACTATGATCCTAGTTCATTAGCATTAGCATTTACATTATCATTATTATCATATACTTGCTGCTGTTGCATAACGCCTGTCGCTGTCTAGCATACCCCATGCTAGTAATTCCCCTCATTACATCAAATTCAAAAACAAAAATTGTTTTTATTATTTCGAAATTCTGTTTAAGGCACGTAAAGTGCATTTAATACTGCGCCGACGACCTTTGCAATGCGACACCTGCGCTCGGTTCAACTAACAGCTGCCACGCCAATCTCACACCTTCCTCCCCTCTGCCACGCCTCTGCGCCCGCCGCTTTTTGGTACGCTGTAAGTGTGCATAGAAATTGCAATTTGTCGCACATAACTTTTGCCTCGCTTTCCATGGCCTTGGCAATGAAATAGAAGCGCCCCACTTGCTGCATGGCAGCAGGAGGCGAAGGAGGGCGAGTGGGTGGGATCATAGCAGGGGGCGGCTGTGTGTGTGCGTGCGTGTGTGTGTGTGGCGGTCATTGTTGCGGCTGCCTGTTGCGGTTAATTGTTGCAGTTGCATTTGCCTTGCCCGTAGCCAGCGAAGCGTGCGGAATAAACAGGAAAACAGGGGCCATACAAAGGGGAAGACTGAGCGGAATATTTATAGATGCATGTGTGTGTGTGTGTGTGTGACGGAACCAGCAGGGTGTCAATAGAATAGTTAGTCATAAAATGAACGATCATATAGAGATACCCAACAGGTGGGCAGGGGAATCAGTTACAGCAGGGTGAGGAGCGCCAGAGGAAAGTCGCAGAACTGTAAGAGGGAGCTACAAATAGCTACCCTTAAAAGTAGATTCACATGATTCATAGATGTGAAAACAAATGGCAACATCATTCCGTGTTGTCTTCAGCAGCCAGAAAATCTAATTAAATCAAAGTTTATAAACATTTTTCATTTGGGGCAAAGTCTTATCAGCTACAACAGAAGTGGAAGCCAACAAGCAGAATGAACTGGAAGATTGCTGGAGCCAAAATCAGTTTTTCTTAGACTTCTCCATATGCTTTCAGCGCTCTCTCTTATTCTCTCTCTTTATTTTTCTCTTGCTATCTCTCTTTTATATCACACTCTTTCTCTGTAGTACATTCTGTGCCTCTCAAATATCTCTCTATCTATTTCTATCTCTAGCTCTAGCTCTATATCTATATATCTCTCTCTCTATCTATCTATCGCTGTTAGCTTAGCCCTCTCCCCCTTTCACTCTGTCTCTCATTTCACACATTCCCTCTCTCTCTCTCTCTCTCTCTCTCTCTCTCTCTCTCTCTCTCTCTCTTAAACGAGCAATTTTTCACTTCTGCTGTGTGCGATCCCATTTAAATTAACACCCAGAATGAAGAATGAATCAAATAATTGAATTAGTTTAGGTAAACTGATCTAAATTAAGTCGTACTTTAAGGTGGCTCAGCGTCGACAATTGCAGAGTTTTTTTTTTATGTTAAGTTGTGGATAAATAAATCACCTTTATTTATAGTTTTATTATATATTTGAATGAATCGAATGTAGCCCAGAGCATTCAGAACGCAATTGCTTTGAGCAATCGATTGCTACTTGAATACGAAGACTTAAGTGGAAGATCGGGTCAAGCGTATAAAGATCGAGTCGAGTGCATTCAACTCTCAATTGCAGAAAGGGAGAGGGAGTGAGGGGGGGACAGGGTGACTTGGAACAAGTGGAACAAATGGCAATTGGATATATTTAAATGATGGGACGCATCAATTTCTCTCAGTGCAGCGCATTTGCCTTTAATTGAAATTGAAGCTGTCTGCAGATTCTATTAGTTGATTTACGTTCTTGCTCAATCACACAATAGCACACACACACACACACGCTGTCACGCCCCCCGCCCCTCCCCTGTTTTTTTTTTTTTTTTCAAATAGTTTACGATGCTTGAAGTCAAGTCGCGTGTTTGTCTTCAGATAGCGTGAGGCAAACAAAAAATTTACATTTTTCGGCCGACTTCAATCAGAGGTTTTCCAATCAAACTAAATGTACCGATCCCCAAAGATACTAGTGTAGCACGTAGTATATATATATATATATATATACATAGATATAGTTATAGATAGACGGCGCAGGTTGTAGATACGCTCCTCGTGTTATTTAAACGACCTTCACACACAGCAAACGGGGTCTGTGTGGGCGAGGCTAGAAGTAGATGAAGGAAAGCTTAACTTTCGTGCGGATTCTGAGATAGATATATATATACTTATATGTACAAATCATAGTCTATTATAATATAGTTAAAAAATCATATTCTAAATATATATACATATTATATATCATAAAAGAGAGAGAAAGAGAGACAGATAGATCTTTTGTGAATTGAATTTTAAAACTCCTCTTCATGTGGAATCTTCTTTTTACTCATTATTCAGAGAGGAAGGATAGCTTCACTTCATAAGATTTTTGAGATATATGATTATAGCATTATGTATAAAAATAGAGTTACAAAATAAATAAACAAGAGAGAAAGAGATAGAGAGTGAGAGAAAGATCTTCTGTAATTCATCGTTGACTTGAACTGCTTCATCTAGAATCTTATTTTTCTTTCTATTCAGATTCTCTCTATGAATCTCTAATGAATCTTTTATAGATGATCTCTTAAATATCACCTATATCATTTAGATCATCCAGGCATATAGAGTTCCTTAAATTTAATTTGTGAAGTAGTGAAACCATAGCTGCTTTACTTAGTTCCTTTATCATCATCATAACATATCCTATATCATATCATATTATTTATAGCATATTAGAGTCTATGACTTACAGTTCTTTAGACGCTACTAAGTCAAGTTCAAATAAATTTAAGTTCTTAATCTGCAATAAAAAAGATACGAAACTTAATTCCTAAACACCTTTAGATATACGCTTAAAATATAATTCCATTATTCATATACCTGAGATATATTACATATAGAGTTTTTTCATTTCTTCATAGATATTCGTTTAACAGTTATCATGCTTTCTGTTTCTCTCGCAACTTGCCTCGTTATAAGTTTGTGTTTCTTCTGCTTTTTGACATCTCTCCAATTTGTCTATTTACAGTTTGATACACTGATATGCATCGTTTGTGCTGTCTGATTAAGGGAAACAACATCAACAACAACAATAAACGAAAGACGAAGAAACAATTCGAGCCGTAAATTTAACGCAATTCGTTATCAACACGCCATTTTCCAACACTGTTATTTTTTGAATACTCGCTTCAGCTGAAGCTCTGTTCCTCTACAACTACCCAACTCTACAACTCTACAACTCTACAACTCTACACTCTACACTGCAATAGACTCAGCAATTTGATACTGTGCCAAAATGTATAAGCTGTTGGGTAGCTTGAAGAGCTACCTCAAATGGCAGGACATCCAGACGGATAATGCAGTCTTTCGTCTCCACAACTCCTTCACAACGGTACTTTTGCTCACCTGCAGCCTGATCATCACGGCCACCCAATATGTCGGCCAACCAATCAGCTGCATCGTCAATGGCATACCGCCACATGTGGTCAACACCTTTTGCTGGATCCATAGTACGTTCACCATGCCGGATGCGTTCAATCGACAGGTGAGAAGTCTACACAACTCTACATTAAACTTAACAGCATGTATAGTAGCAGACAATTGCGTTAACTTAATTTTTTTTGCTATACTACAAAGCTTTTGCATAGTCTACAAATCACAAAAGTCTCCACTGTTGGTACTTTGCGGATCTAATTATATTTTTGGCAATATACTACTTAAAATCAAGTTTAAATTACAAATCAAAAATATCTACACAAGTCTCCACAAAGCATTTGATGTATGCATGGCTCTTAGAGTAAATAAATATTAGAATTTAGCATAGAACGGCTAACTTTATTCCCAACTAACTCTACAAAGTCTACAATAAAAAAATATTTTTGAACATAAGAAAACTAACATTAACTGTATCAAAAGTAAGTTTAATGAAATTTAGCAAAGTCTAACGTTATTGCGTGATTAAATTAACATTTGTACAAAGTCTACACTAGTCTCCAAAAATACTTTTAGCCCTGAATTGCATTAGAGATGACTTAATTGATTGCAGCAAATGTTCAAACATGCTTAAAGCATATTTTAAAAAAGTCTACACAAGTCTCCAAAAGTAATTTTATATATTTTCAAATGCATTTCAACCAAACAAACCTCAGCAAATCATGTAATGCCATGTTTACAAACTCTACACAAGTCTCCAAATATAGTAAGTCGCGCAATCATGCTGAAAGCGCAGCTTCCCAGAATTTGCTACCTTTTCTGCTTCATTGAAATCTTGTCTTATCTTGCCTCGCTTTATTGTTCCTTCTTTTTTGGTTTTGTACATCTTCTCCACATCCTTATGTAGGCCGATCACGTTCAGCGTTGTCTCATTTGTATGATGTGTGTAATACATGCTGTAGGCCCGTTTTTGGATGCCTCGCATAAATATGTGCATATTTATATGCTGCGGCTATAAAGCAATTATAAACGGGGCGTTGTCGCTGCGAAATTGCGCTTCGTGTGATCCAAAAAAAAAAAAAAAACAAAAACCAAAAAACGAAAATAAAAAACCGATTAACAACGACACAAAAATTGAATAGCCCTCGGCCAGCCTCTTGTTTATGCACATATCTCATGTTTCAACAGGGGCAATGTTTTGTGATTTCGTGGAACCATCAAAAACACAGACGAGCAACATGTCCTCGTCCTTTAGGCAGAGTACGTGAAAATGATCAAGCCGTTTGTCGATGAAGAAAGGAAAAAAATTAGAAGTGGCATCCGAGCGGAAATCATTAGAAAGCGTAGAGCTTCTGTGTCGAGACGATCTCTAAAGGAGACCTATATGCGAAATGCATTTTACCTACTCAGGCAAACACCTAACTGTTATATAGGGAACTGTTATACCACTTTATTTATATGATATATAAGCAATATCTTATGTATACCCCACACAATACTTGGCTTAATATTCTACTGTTATATGTTGTGCTTACAACTGTTATACTGCTTACTGTTATACTAGGTAGGGCGAATAGACAGAATTGTACAATTTGTGTATAAACTTTGTTAGAATATATTTAAGGTACTTTACTTACTAGATCATTGCAACATAGTATAACAGTTAAACAATATAACAGTTTCTAAACAACATAATCGAGCTTTATTGCAAAAGGAAACCAGTACATCACTTGTGAATCATAAATAAGCGAGCCCATTATAACAATCACACAATATAACAGTTATCAGTATAACAACTGTGAAAAAATGCAAGCGAGCTTAACGATTTATATATCACAATTATCACGCATACTCTATTGTGAAAAGCCCTAAGCTCAAGTATTTATGGCTCACAACTGTTATACTGAATACTGTTATATTGTGTGCTTGACTGTGGTCACCAATTAAAACATTTAAATACATTTAATACCAGTTGTAAACTTTAATATGAGCTGTATAACACATAACCCCACTGCTGCCAAGACTGTTATACTGATTTCTGATTTCTGTTATATGGTTTTGATTTTTAACTATATTCACATTATATATGTGAAATGTATGCCACTTTAACATTTTCTACTATTGTTGTATACTGTTATACTACTTATAATACTGTTATACTACTTATACTTATACTTCTGTGTATGCTCGCTTTCAGGTCGGGCGTGAGGTGGCACATCCTGGCGTTGCCAACGACTTCAATGACAAGGATGCCCGGAAATACTATACCTACTACCAATGGGTGTGCTTTGTGCTCTTCTTTCAGGTAAGCACGACAGCTATTCAGTAACTCTGCCGCACCACTTGGTATGCCCGAACAATCGTAAGCTGTTTCCCCACCCCCCACTTTGCCCTGTATAATAGGGTATTTGAAAGGAGAGATATCTCACGTTTATGTTTGACGTTTTGGTCTTTTTTTTTGCTCGTGGTCTCAATTGCTACGCAGATGCCAACGCACACACGCACACACACACACACGCACAACAAGCTCTACTTCAATGAAGCTTAATTGAATGCGTGCTTTGGCTTTTGGTCTATGCAGAGGGGGAGGCTGTGGAGGTGTGTGCGTGTGAGAGAGAGAATAAGAGAGAGAGAGAGAGAGCCAGAACGAGCTGCGGCTAATGCCTAACCGTTGACTACTTTTGAAGGGGGGAACGCACAGTTCATTGTATTGCCAAGCACGCGCAATCAAGCATGATTGCGCGCCTGTTGCGCAACACGCAAACACAATCAACAACAACAACAACATTAGTTGCTAAACACCAAAGTCAGCAACAAACACTTGCGAAATGCCAGATACTGGATTCCAATGGATTAGTGACTTGCTAAATTCCAACAAGAAGCAGAACAACAACAACAACAACAACAACACTGGGAAACGCGCCTTAAAAACTAGATTCAGATTTTTCTCTCTCTTCAAAATCAAAAGCTCTTGGCTAATATTTGCGTGTAGTGTATTACCAGTCATTCTCAAGTACAGTTTAAACAGGCTAAAGCGCACAACGGCAGAGCTTTTGAATTAAGCTTAAAGCTCTACAGTGCATATACAGTCTGAGCTGAATACAAATGTCTATTGTATAAGACTAACTAGTCGTATACAGTAAACAGTGCCTACAATGAACAATGATGATTATATATAATTATGTTCTATATATAAGGCATACAGAGCTTTTAGACAAAGCTTAAAGCTCTTTACTTCATGTACGGTAACACTAAAGCTTAAGACAAACGAGTTATGCGACTTATTAACAGTGAAAACTGCCTACAACGCAAAGTTGCAGACTTTTTGAATTGTGCTTAAAGCTCTTCACTGCAAACACAGGCTTATACAGTCTTAGCTGCATACAAATGTCTATTGTATAAGAGTAACTAGTCGTATACAGTAAAAACAGCCTACAATGGACAGGCTGCAAAATGAATCTAGATTGAGCTTAAAGCTCTTGAGTACAGCTTTTCCCAATCGAGTCTTATACAGTTTAAGTGCACACAATGCTGACTCGAGCACAGTATAAACTGGCTAAAACTGACTAGAAAATGTTGGCTGTAAGCTGCAAAAGCTTTTGCTGAAAGCTCCTCTAACTATGAACTTTGGAATAGATGTTATACTACTTATATTTCAGTAAAACGTTTCCTATACATACATCTGAATAGTATAGTAAATGCTGCCTATAACGAATGTCTACTTTACTCATAAAAGCTTTGAGCACAAGCTTAAAGCTTGCAGTTATAGCTTATTTCTATATAAGCCAGCCTAATACAGCGAAATCTGCCTGAAATAAAAACTCAAATGCCTTGAATATAAGAGCGCTCGTGTACAGTAAACCTTGCCTAAGAGCTACTCGCTATATAACCTAAGTCAAATAAAAAATCCAGAATAAAAATAGTCAATATAGATAAGATCTCTAGTGAAATGGATATATTTTTCAAATAGCCACAGATATCTCGAAAATGTCTTTAAAGTATCTTTTTATCTTTAAGAAAACTCTTATGCCCAAGTATCATTAATTAGTGTTAATATTTTGTATTGAAATTGCGATTTTAACAATTATTTGCCTGCTTTCCCCATTCCATAGGCCATGGCCTGCTATACGCCGAAGTTTTTGTGGAACAAATTCGAGGGCGGACTGATGCGAATGATTGTCATGGGTCTGAACATCACGATCTGCACGAGCGAGGAGAAGGAGGCCAAGCGCGATGCCCTGCTCGACTATCTCATCAAGCACGTGAAGGTGAGCGCGATTCATCGAAAGCCCCAGCGATATCTAAAAATAATATCGATTGTCCATTTTGTATATTGCAGCGCCATAAACTGTACGCCATGCGCTATTGGGCCTGCGAGGTGCTCTGCTTTGTCAATATTGTGCTCCAGATGTATTTGATGAATCGCTTCTTTGACGGCGAGTTCATATCGTATGGCACGAACATCATGGGACTGTCGGATGTACCGCAGGAGCAGCGCATGGATCCCATGGTGTACGTCTTTCCGCGCGTCACCAAATGCATTTTCCACAAATATGGTGCCGGCGGCTCACTGCAGACGCACGATTCCCTCTGCATATTGCCGCTGAATATTGTCAACGAGAAGACCTATGTGTTCATTTGGTTCTGGTATTGGATACTGCTCATACTGCTCGTCGGCCTGATGATATTCCGGTACATACATATAGATAGATATATAACTAAGATTCTTGCTTAGCTTCATGTTAGCTTAACTGCAGCTATAGACTGTTATACATTGTTCTGGTTATGTTAACTAGACATATAGCGGCATAGTAGGTTAAGTTAATGTTAGCTTAACAGTCTGTTATAGGTAGTTCCAGTTGCTGTTAAAGTTCATGTTAGTTAAAAGGGCAGCAATTTTCTAGTTGCTCTTCGTGCTCATGTAATTTAGACAAACGACAAAACTTAATTTTAGCCACATTTTCGATTTAGTTCTTGTTCTAAGCTAAGTTATGTTAGGCTAGATAACTCAAAGCTCTGTTACGTGCTGTTAACACGTTTCACATATTCTCTGTCGCCTTGTCAGGCAACGCTGTTAAGCTGGGTTTTGTTTCATATGGCACTGTTAAGCACTTGCTTTTAGCTAACAGTGCGCTGTTACACAAGTTAACATTCAAGTTAAACTGTCTGTTAAATGTCAACATTTTTAGTCTTTTCTTTGCATATTTGAATCTTGATCTTGATCTATAAAATATATTCTATATATTTACAGTGCCTGCATCATCTTCATGCCCAAGTTCCGGCCGCGCCTGTTGAATGCGCGCAATCGTATGATTCCCATGGAGACCTGTCGCACGCTCTCGCACCGCTTGGACATTGGCGATTGGTGGCTTATATATATGCTTGGTCGCAATCTGGATCCGGTCATATATAAAGAGGTGATGGGCGAGTTTGCCAAGCAGGTGGAGCCAGCGAAAAACGAACGCAACAAGTAAACCAGCTAGCGAGATAGAGCGAGACAGAGACAGAGACAGAGAGAGAAAGAGAGAAACTCTCTGGATGATTAAATTCATAATTATTATTATTTAGCACAAATCAAGACAACTAGTTGAAGAAAAAAAGCAAGAAAAAGACAATCTATTCAAATCCATTTCCACCCACTCAACAAGAAAAAGAAGAAGAAGAAAGAAACTCTTAATCAATGATCACAACTCAAATTTAAAAAACTGTTCAAATATTTGAGCATGAAAAATATTTCAACAGTTATTTCTTCTTTCTTTTAACAATTTTCAGCTTGAAAAAAAATATATTTTTTTTATTACTTTTAAACTTAATTTAATATTTAGCGTGTAAATTACGAACAGAAACAAGAGTTACGGCCCAAGAAATTCTAAAGAACTCTATATAGATATATATAGATATATTTAGAGATTTATATATATAATATATATATATATATATATATATTTGATTCTTATGAAATTAAGCGCAACTTGCAACTGCCAAGCAAAAATCAGCAGCTACAACAACAATAGCAACGCTCTTATAATACGATGAAGAAAAAACATAATTATTGCTTTTGAGTCTTTCACCGATCATAATACTATATATAATTGATAAATCAAGAAATATCGAAGCGTTTCGCTGGCAACCTTTAAATGTTAAGTTTTTTGTATAGTTTTAGGCAAAGATTGCAAGATTTTTTATAAAACTAAAGCAAATATATATATACGTATATATATATATTTATATAAAACATATTAAATAAACTACATAACTGGCGAAAATCAAGTTGTTTTCTTAAAATTTTAAGTCAAAACAGAATTTCGAAAAGTTGGGTTAGAATTTTTGTGCAATTTCAATTTAACTGGTTTCTACTGTATTAAAATAAAATAATTTTAAAAAAAGTCATCGAGAAAACAGTCAATATGCCGCTTCTGATGCGCAAGTACTTATTTACAAAATACCAATTTCATTCAAATATCAATTTGCAAATAAACGTTGAGCAGCTTTTCGTTCAATTTGTGTAGTGCTCACCCAACGAAATGTCGTTAAGTGAGTAACGTAAGCGAGCATTAGCGCGTGCAGCGCCAAATGCTCAATGTTAGTCCCAACATGAGTAACGCGAACGCATGAATGCGCAACGTAAAGCCAAACTGCGTAAGGCATTAAACTAATGCAGTAAATTGTTGCAAAACTCAATTAAAATAAAACCAAAACGAAATAGAATAAGTGATAAAAATGTGATGTCAAGTGTAAGTGTGAATGCTTCTACCGAAGCGTATAAATATAAAAAATAAGATAAAACAAATGCGAAATAATGTTTTGTCAAAGTCGCGCGTGCGGGTGGATGTGTGTGTGGTAGCGTGTGCGTGTGTGTGCGAAGCAGTTAAAAACGCAGCGAAAATCTGCTGCACAGAGCCAAAATAAACGCGCAAAAGCTATACGAAAAAATATAAACATAACACGATAGTGTGTGTGTGAGTGGGAGGAGGAGGGACGGTGCCATTATAGTTATTGGCCATGCATACATATATATGTAAACACAGACCACCGCAATTTTGGTTTCTCTTTTGTTTTTATACTGTGTTAATTTGAGCCCTTGCGTGAGAGTGTGCATGTGGGTGTGTGTGCATGGAATTTAGCGACGCCTGCTGGCACAAAATTCAACCCCCAATGCCCCTACTTCTAGTTAACGGGCGCAGTAACAACAACAACAATGGAAGCATCACACCACCAACACAAAACGCCAACCACCACCCCCTGACGACAACCACGCTGAGAATTGACTCTCGGTCGAACGAAGGTGATGTTATAGTTGTTGTTGTTGTTGTTGTTGGGGTGTTAAGCTAAAATAACAAGCAGCAGCACCGCCGTAATTCAAAAACTGTCGAAATAAAACGGCTCTGCGCTCCACTCTTGACTTTCCGTTCCTTCTCTCTCTCGTTCTCCATTTCTCAGCTCGTCACTCTGATGCGCATTATATTGCTCATTCATTCTCTCTCTCTCTCTTCTGTGACGCTTATTATGCCGCAGCCAAAAGTTTAGCTCCAAGCGCCCTATCCTTTATAATTGGGTGTACGCTGTTTGTTCGTGTGTTTGTGTGTGGGTGTGAGTGTGTGTGAGCAAAGGCGAATTGTAAGCCAAAAAAGAAAAGGCAAGGCAAAGGCAACGAAAAACAACTGACAAGCAAAGCAAGCGATAGCCAAATCCATTTCGTTTGCTGCTAAGCATTTTGCCTGAGTTTAAAATTGTTAAACAAATTAAAATTCGTATTTAATTTAGCAAAATTTAATTTTAATTGCTGTGTGAAATTAGTTTATTGCTTAAAATTTTGCGCAAATTACGCGCTGCGCAACACCGGCCGGCGGCCGTTTGGCAACACTGTCAGTGTTGTTTGCCGCCTATGTGTGTGCAACCCTGTGTGCCGCACACACGAATCTGAGTGTGAAAGCGTGTGGTCGAAAAATTAAGAACAGCAACAAAAAACGTAAGATCCAAAACGGCTCTCTTTGTGTGAGTAGCAGCAGCGGTAAAAAAGAATGCTCGCGGGGGAGCAAAGCAAATTGACAGCAGTAGTAGCAGCAGCAGCAGCAAAGCAGCGCAGCCGCTAATCTTTTGCTGTCGCGTCGCGTCGCAAAAGCAAAAGCAAAATCACGCAGAGCCAATAAAAGCAAAAAATACAAAAAAAAAAAAAACAAAAATATAAAATTTCCATACCCAAAAATAACCAAAAAATTTTCAAGTTTGACGTTTTTATGGTGTGTGAAAAACGACACGGGAACAAGGAATAGGCCACAAAACTGAAAGCAAAGCTAAAGAATAAGGTAGAAGAAGAGGAAGCAGCCAGCAGCAGCAATTGTAGCAGCGAAAAGCGTGCAAAGGCGAAAGGAAAAAGGTCAAAATGAGTGTGTGTGAAAGATAGAAGAATCATGGAATCAATGAAAATGGAGCAAATGTGAAAAACTTGTGGAAAAGCTAAAATTAATTTTTGTTGTTTTTGTTCACGCGCGCGTATTTGCGTTTGTATGCGTGCGTCCGTGCGTGCGGTTGTGTGCAAGTGTGTGTGTGCGTGTGCCTGTGCCAGTCAGCTAGCGTTAGTGAGAGCGAGAGGCGAGAGAGTGCGAGTGCGAGCAAGGCAGGCAAACAGGCAGGAAGGGAGCTAAAGTATTTTGTAAAACGCATTTACTAATTAAATACAAATACAAAAAGTGAATATATAGAAATATATAAAAATATATATATTTATATATGTGGATAATTGCATGAATTAGAAGAGACTCCGAAACAGCTGCAACATAGCATTTGATGAATGGCAATTCAAAAAGGAAATCAATAATAATAATAACAATAACAATAAACGCTCTAAAGTGCCCCCACCTCTTCTTCTTCTACTTATAGTTGTTGCTGGTGTTGTTGGAACGTATGCAATGTGTTGTTTTTTTTTGTTTGTTTTTTGAATCAAAGTAAAACAAAAGAGAACTAAAAATAAATAAAAATAATAAAATAAAAAAATCACAAAAAGTATTCGGCCGCAACAAAGCAAAGAAATATTAAAAAATAAAAAATTTAAAAAAAAATGTGGAAAGCCAACGAATGCGCCATTGCCGCAGCAGCCGCCGCAGTAGCAGAAGAAGCGCCACACAGCGTCGCAGCAGCAGCCGCCGCCAACGCGTGGAAAGCAGCAAAAAGCAACGCATGACCGAACGACGCGGCGACGTTCAAAAAAAGCGAAGCAAAGCAAAGCGAAACAATTGCTTCAAACTAAAAAGAGAAGAGTGCAACAAAAGAGAGAAGAAAAAAACATATACAAAACAAAAACACAAACACACACGAGAATAATAACAATAACAATAACAAACGCAAAAGCGATAGGCGATAGAATAGCCGTAGAAGTAGAAAAACAAAACGAAGTAACGTGCAATAACTAAAACAAAAAAAAAAAATAGAAACAAAACGGAAGCAACGCTAAACGCACACGAGAAACGAAACACAAAAATACAACAAAAAGGAGCAAGCGAGAGCGAAACTTGCAGAAGGAACTGTTGAGGTGAAGAAGAAAAAAAAAGAAAGGGAAGGCAGAAGGAACGGAAAGAAAAAGTCAAGCAGCAAACCCAGCGGCAGCAGCAGTCGAGCTTTCAGTGTTGTTGTTGGCGTAGGTGTTTGTGCTGTTGTTGTTGGCGTTGGTGTTGCCATGGCCAGCAGCAGCAGCAGCGCAACAAATGCAGCCAGCAGCAACGCAACTGCGCTGCCTTCACTCTTTGCCGGCAGTAACAGTAACAGCAATAATAATAACAGCAGCTGTGGCAGCGGCAGCGCTGCCGCCGTCAACGTCGCGGCCAAAGATATGGACGGACTGATTGCCATCAATGATAGCGCATTATCGCAACAAATCGAATTTATACTACAAGATGCTCCCATGGAGCAGGATGACGAGCAACAGCAGCTGCAGCTGCAGCAGCAGCTCAATATGGCAGCAGCAGCGGCGACGGCAGCAGCGGCAGCGGCGGCGGCGGCAGCAGCTGCGTCCAAGCTCGACAACCACCCACCGACAACAACAAATGCAACAATAACGACAACAACAACAAACAGCGCTTCCGCCTACATCAACCACAATAGCAGCAGCAGTAGCAGCAGCAGCAACAACAACAACAACAACAACAACAACAATCATATAAATAGCCACAACAACAACAGTTTGAGTGTTGAGGATCATCAGCAACTGTTGTTGCAGCAACATCGTGCACAGCAGCAACAACAACAACAACAGCAGCAACATCATCTGCTGAATGGCCGTCGCATCATCATTCAATCGACGGCCAGCGGCGCCGGCTCCGTGATGGCTGCCAGCGACATCAAAGAAGAGCAACAGGAGCTTGAGGATGATCCCGATGAGGAGGAGGAAGAGGAAGATCCGGAGCTTAACGATGAAAATCTGCAGGACATCGAGGAGGAGGCGCAGGCAGCCGAAGCTGATGAGGAGCCTGAGACGGCGACGCATTTGCAGCAACACCATCAACATCATCATCATCTGCACAATCAGCAGCAACAGCAGCAACAACAACAGCAACAACATCATCATCTGCATCAGCAACAGCAACATCATCATCAGCAACATCTGCAACAACAACAACAACAACATATGCAAACGCAAGTCAAACTGGAGCTGGACGAACTGCCTGACGAAGATGAGGAGGAGGAGGAGGATGAGGATGAGCACATGCAGCAGCAGCAGCCAGCGCAGCAGCAGCAGCAGCAGCAACAGCAACAGCAACAAATCGAGGTATAAAGCATGACGCACGGTAAAACGGTTTAGATTTTACAATTACTTGAGTAATTAGTGTTAAATTGAGAAGGTAATTTAAAGTAATTACCTAAGCTACATGTGTATAAGAAATTGTCACGATTGATTCATACCATCAATCTAGGCTAGGCTTGATTCACTTTCCGTGCAAATAATATGTCTTCGATAGATATCGTAGCCTCCTAATGCACTTAATGTATTGTAATATAATGCACTCACACATGTAATTAAGGTAAATAAGTTTCGGAATCAGGTTAGTTCAGTATTTAAAATTTAATTTAATTAATAGTGTAAAAGCTGGTGAAATGCAAGTAATTGTTATAGTATATAGTAAAAAGTAATTTAAATTGAATTTACTTCACTAATTCCGCTTAGTTACTTAATTAATTATTAACTCTTTTTCAAGTATTCATATATATATATGACGGATAGGAAAAGAGTTAATTATTAATAAACTAACTAAGAGGAATTTTTTATATATATATATATATATATATATATATATAGCATACTAAATAATTAAAATTAAATGTAGTAAACAAATTCCTCTTAGTTAATTTATTAATAATTAACTCTTTTCCTATCCGTCATGGAATCGCTATAGTAAATTAATAAAAGTAATCAGTATAATTAATAATTTAATATAATTAACTGATTTTCAATTAGGTAAAGTAACAATTAATAACTATTAACTTTTAGCAATTATTCATGGAATTTTCATAGCATATAATTAGAAATAATTAGTCAACTTTAATACGATTAACAATTAATTAAATACTTTTATTAAAATGAATTAGCTAAAGCAAATCAATTACTCAAAGCAAAGTAATTATAATTTTTAAAATAATTAAAGAAAATCTAGAAATTGCCAATTCCAAAAGCAAAATAATGAAAAGTAATTAAATTAAATATTTAAAGAGAATTTCTTTTCAAATTACCTAATGATTAATAATTAAAAGTAATTAGCTCACGCAATTCTATTTGCTCATAATAATCAGAAGTAATTAAAAAAGCAAATTCAATTGAATATTAAAAGACATATCAAAACAACTCAAGTAGCTGTCATAGTGAGTAATTGAAAAGTAATTAAGAATAATTAGTTAAAATTTGAGCAATTTAATTGCATATTGAATTAGAATAGTTCCGGAGATGGGTAATTTTGAAATGTTAAACTGGGAAAAATTATTTGAACTCTCCCAATTACTCAAGTAATTAAAAGTAATTAGCGTTGGCTTGATTTATTAACCGAAATATCTTTGTATCTATCCATTAACAGTCACTGCAACAACAACTGGAGTACTCAACATCGGCCCAGCAGCTGGTGCTGCCGGCGGGCAGCATTGTGAGCACCACGACGCGCGCTTTGGCCGTGCCGGTGTCGGAGGCGGCGCTGGTGCAGCTGCAGCGTCGTCCCGTCTACATTAGCAACGCGACAATGAGCAGCCTGACTGGCGCCACCTATGTGCGAATGCCCGCTGCTGCTGTTATCAGTCGCAGTCCGATGACGGTGCTGAATGTGGTTCAGCAGACGGGCGGACCCACCGCACAGCTCATATTGCAGGCGGCGACGGCGGCGCAGGCAACGGCAGCGGCAACAACGCAGGCGCCACAGGCAGCGGCAACTGTTGCAGCTGCAGCAGCAGCGCCGTCGCCCAGCAACGAGCAACAGTTGGCGGCGCTAGCACTGGCGCAACAGCAGCAGCAGCAGCAACAACAACAGCAGCAGCAGCAACAGCAACAACAACAACAACAACAACAGCAGCAACAACAGCAGCAGCAACAGCAGCAGCAACATCAGTCCATCAAGCCAGCGCCTGCCACAAGCAATGTGGCAACATCCACGACCAGTTATCAGTGCATGGAATGTGTGGAAAAGTTCGATTCGAAGGAGCTCTTTGACATACACCGCAGCGGGCATGCCAACAATATGAAATGCGCCATCTGCAACATGGTCTTGAAGTCTCTGAAGAACTATGAGAAGCATTGTTTGCGCTGCAAGCCCTATGAATGCCAGATCTGCGGCCGTGTCGTACGCTTTCGTCCCAATTTCATTAAGCATATGCGCGTGCACACGGGCCAGCAATCGGAGAGGCACAAATACAAATGCGAAGTGTGTCACAAGGAGTTCATGAGCTTTGAGTACTTTAAGGTCCACAAGAAGATACACAACGAGAATGTGAATCTAACCTGCGAGATCTGTGGCAAAGTGTTTAGCGCGTTGGCCTCGCTGCGCGGCCACTCGAAGCTGCATTCGGGCGTTAAGCTGCACAAGTGAGTGGATCAAATTTGATTGGAATTACATTTATAACTAACTCGCTCTCCCTCTCCCTCTCTCTCTCTCTATCTATCTATCTGTCTCTTTCATTTCTTGCAGATGCGATGTGTGTGGCAAGGGCTTTGGTCAGCGCTACAATTTGAAAATTCATGCACGCACGCACACGGGCGACTTTCCCTTTGAGTGCAAAGTGTGCAAGAAGAAGCTGCATACGCAATCGTCGCTGCAGACGCACATGCAGGTGCATTTGCGGGATCAACCGAAGGGCAGTGCTGCCAGCAGTAGCAGCAGCAGCAGCAGCAGCAACAACAACCATAGCAACAACAACAATAATATTAGTAACAATGCTGTGACAGCAGCAACAGCCAATGTCAAACTGGAACCAGAACTGGAACAAGCCAGCAGCAGTCTGCAACAGCAACAGCAACAGCAGCAGCAACAGCAACAACAACAGCAGCAACATCATCTGCAACAGCAACAGCATGAAATGGAGCTGGACGATCAGTCGGGCCTGAGCGACGAGGAGACGGAGAGCGCTGTTCACAATTTGACCAATAGTCGTTTAACCACCGGCGAGGACTCCTCCAATGAGTCCTCATCGAATGCCTCGCTACAGCAGGCCCACTCCTCAGCCAGCTCAACACACTCGCAACAGCAACAACAACAGCAGCAGCAACAGCAACCACAACAACAACACCAACAACAACACCAACAACAGCAACAGCAACAATATATTGTATCTACACCCACGCGCACCATTGTCATCAAGAACTATATGCAACAGCAACAGCAATCGGACAATCCAGCCGGCAATGGCAACTGTTCGAGCGTGCTGCACACACAGGTCATACAGAGCGGTGCAGGCACCAGCAACGGCCATCACATCATCAACGCCACCAACAATGCCAACAGCAACAGCCACAGCCATACGCATAGCAATGGCCACAGCAGCAGCAGCAGCAGTAGCAACACCAACAACAACAACAACATCAATAACATCAATAACAGCAGTAGCAGCAGCAGCGGTGGCAGCAACAGCAGTAATGTTGCAACTGCGGCCAGCAATTTGGCACAGCAATTGTTGCGTAAAACGCCGATCATTCATTCGACGGGCACGCTCAGCTCAGCGCTGGCCAGCGTAGTGCAGCAAACGGGCGGTAAGTAACTAGAAGGCTAAGGGATTATGAAACTCGGAGAAGGTAGTTCCAATGGTTGACGAGTGACGAGTGACGAGGAAGGTATAACTTGTAGCCAGTAGCTGAAGTTCACTGAATAATTATGTAGACATCTTAAGCCAATCTTGACAACGGCGGAACTAGAAGAAGAGTTCAATTTAGCGAGTAGGACAACAACAGTAATAAACACGAGTCAAGTGTAACGAGTGGATAGTAGCATAAAGACGAGCGTATGTCTCTAAAACTTACAGAAAGATTTTTAGAACTCTAACTGGAGTAGAGCAGTTTAAGGAAGAGTAACGAACTAAATGTAACGAGAGCGAGTAGCGAGTAGAAAACGGACAAAATGAAATGAAACAGCAAGGAATGGAACAAAAATGAATCACAGTTAGCAAACGAAAGACTTAAGCGAGTAGAAGTTCGTGAGTAACAAATATCTTCCAATTTAAATAATAATACAAACTGTTACAAAGAATTCAAGCAAGATAACTGTTATACAAATTTGCATATTATAAATAGGAAAAATCTGAAAAAAAACAAGGAACAAAAGAAAATTTTTTAAAATGAAATGTAATGCACAGGGGAAATGTATTTATTTATATACATTTAAAATATAAAAAATAAAATACGAGCATGTCAAATATTAAAACAATATATAAAAAACAGTATATACTTTATCAAATATAAAATATAAAATATAAAATATAAAATATAAAATATAAAATATAAATTATAAAATATAAAATATAAAATATAAAATATAATATATAAAATATAAAATATAATATATAAAATAATAAAATATATAAAATATTAAAAATACAATTTAAAATATTAAATATAAAACTATATAAAATATAAAATATAAAATATAATATATAAAATATAAAATAATAAAATATATAAAATATTAAAAATACAATTTAAAACATAAAATATTAAATATAAAACTATATAAAAATATAAAATATAATATATAAAATATAATATATAAAATATAAAATAATATATAAAAAATTAAAAAAAAACGAAGAAAATATAATATAAAATAATACTTTATTTATATAGAAACTATAAATAAGCTAGTCCCATTAAATCATACCTAATATTTAGTGAACTTTATTTCATTTAAAATCCTAAATTATTAATTTTGCATACCTGAAAAGACCTATCAAATCGGCTACATTCAAGCGTTATATATATCTATATCCATATAGCATTTGAATTTACATTACTTGTAAGCTTGCAGCACTAGAAACTTGATTGTGCATAGCAAAAGCCTGAGAATTTAATTTAATTTAATTCTTGGAAAAAATGTTTTGCTCACTTGTAGGAAGATTACGTTGTCTTGGAAATTATGCAAGATAGCATATGGCTCACTGAGCATGAAAATGACATTAATCCTTAACTTGTGTCACAGCGGTTGATGAGGGAAAAGTAATTGATATTAATGTGATAACATATCTATAGCTAAGCAAAGGGTTTGATAATCTGTTTTCTGTTGAATTTAATTTCTAAGCTTAAAAATGTTCAATGCGAGCCGAAGCTCTATGAGGAGTGAATATTATGATTACCAACTTCTTTAAAGCTTCCGTAGCTAATTTTTAACTTATTTAAAATCGGCTTTAACACTCACAAACAATTATCACAGTTGCCTCAATGCTTACTGGATGAGCTCAACTCTATTCAGCTCAGCCAATAACTCAACTTGGATACAATATATTTCAGATATGAAAGTTGTTCGAGCAACATTTGATGTTTAAGCAAACGCATACCAAAATATTCAAGTCTAGGCCATAAAGATCCTGAGCTATATAGTTTTTCAGAATATGACTATAGCTGATTGCTATTTTGATGGACTTGACTAATGCCGGCAACTTTGTTCTGCTTTCAGTTGGTTCGCCGGCGCAATCGCCGTCATCTTCATCCACATCGTGTTCCTCCACCGTGCTGGTATCCAAGGCGACGGGCGTGCCTCTGTCCATAGCGTCATCTGCGGCGCTGGGCGGCTCCACAATAATACGCAGCACGCGCAACCATCAGCAGCAGCAGCAACAGCAGCAGCAGCAGCAGCAACAGCAGCCAGCGAGCAATTGCAGCAGCAGCAATGTGCGTGTTGTCACTGGACAGCAACAGCAACAGCAGCAGCAGTCGCAGCCGCAGCCGCGCAATAACCACCGAAACCACCACCGACGTCGTCATCTAGCGGATATGGACGATGATGATGATGATGACGATGATAACGAGGACGATGAGACGAGCGTGCAATTGCGCGCAGCCACCAATGGACATCATCATCATCATCAACAACAGCAGCCGCTGCCGCAGCCGCAGCAGCTAAATCAGCATCATAACCACAATCATAATCACAATCATCATCATCATAATCATCAACAGCATCACCAGCAGCACCAACAGCAGCCGCAGCAGCAACAGCCGCAGCAGCAGCAGCAGCAGCATCATCATAATCATCAGCATCACAATCATTTCGATGATGATGATGATGATGAGAAATCCTCACCGTCCTTGGCCACAGCGGCCATTATCAAAGTGGAACCGAATCTCTATTCATCCGGCTCTGGCGACAATTCCAACGATATGTTCATTAAGGAGGAAGTTATGTTTGAAGACTCCGCTGCACCACATTCACCCCAATCGCCGCCCAGCTCGAAGTTTCGTATATCGAATTTTGAGAATGATTTGGTCGATCATCACGTCGACTTAAGTCATTCGCTGCCGCCCTATGGCAATCTGTTCGAGCCGCACTCCATACCCGACAGCATACCCGTTCAGCTCTATCCGGACGACGATGATGACTTTCGGCTCGACCACAGCTCGTTGGGTGGCCTGCACAATACATCGTCGTCGACCACCGACGGCGACTTCATCAAGAAGGAATGGGTCTATGGCAGCGGCACGAGCAGCTATGCGATGAACGGCAAATTCGATGATGACAGTGATGCCCTGTGCGATGCGGCCAACTTTATATACAATTGAGTGGAGCCGAACAGGAAGCGCAAGTGGAAGAGGAAACGGCAGTGGTTGGCGGGCGTTCACGATGTCTCCATGTGGGGCAGCTGATCCAGCCAGCATAGAAATGAGCAAAGGCAGATGCATGAGCAGAAGGCGACGAGAGGAGCAGCAGCAGCAGCAGCAGTTGTAGCAGTCGCAGCTGCAACAGCAACAACAACAAAATTCGAATTATTGACGCACACGCGCACACACACAAACACATACAACACACACACACACACACACACATACATGTTTGTGTGCTTGCATACACATATATATATATATATTTGTGTATATATATATATGTGCCCATTTATCCTTAACAAGTGTATATGTATCTATAGATATGTATATATATGTATTTAGAGAGAGATTATGTTTTTTTTCTTCTTGTATACACCTATATACACGCATACATACATATATATATATATATATATATATATATATATATATATATATTAGCTATCTCTGTCGCGCTCGTGATCTTAACGTGATCTTAAACTAAATCAATGTGTAAAACGTATTTGTAACTGTATTTTGTAGTTGTTTCTATATAATTGAAAAAGGCAAAAAAGAAAAAATCAAAAAAAAGTGAACAAAAAGTATGGATAAAGCAGCATTTGCTCTGCTACTATGTATGAGTATATATAGCTAACTGTCTCTTTCACACACACACAGACAGAGAACTACACGAATTCCTCTTGGTGTCTGTCTGTCTTGCTCTGTATCTATCTATCTCTCTCTCTTTGTCTGTGTGCAGAAATTGTCTTCAAATTTGTTTCTAGTCTATTTATCTGTCTCTCTCTCTCTATGCGTGTCCCATTCTCTGTGTCTCTGTCTCACTTTGTATTGCGCTCTCTAACTGTTTGCACGCCTTTCAATATTTTGTTTGCCTTTGATCTCGTTTACAGTTGAATTTTCTGAATTTGTTTTTTGTTTCATTTTCTTTTCTATATATATATATATATATATATATATGTGTGTATATATTGCTTCTCATCTGAGCTATTGTTAGGCGTGCTTAACCTCAATTTTGTGTTTTCTTTTTTTTGTTTTGTTTCATTCAGTATTTTTTCCCCCGAAACCAAATTTAACTTAAGAATTACCAAACTAAGCAACTCGTAAAATGAATACATATAAAAAAATGAATTCTCATTTAATTTTTTTTTTTTTTTGTCAAATCTTGTCAGTATTTTTTGTCTCCCTCTCTATATGATAAATATGATATAATTTAACTCTCGTTTCCCACTTCCATTCTCCATTCTAATGTGCAATTCTCAAGAAAGTATAAAACATGCCACGCCCTGCTCTACACAAGCGCCCACACACAGCTATTGTAACTGTAATTTGTATTATTGATCTTGAACAAGAAGAAGAAGAGTATGAAAACCTAGCAAGTTTTTTGTTTTGTGCTTTAAAAACTTAAATTGAAATTATTGTGGTTTCCTTAATTAGCAATTAAGTTCTAAATTTTAATTAATTACACACGCACACACATATATATATACATATATATACTACTTATATATCTAATGTAATATATATATATATATATATATATATATATATATATATAGAGCGAATTATATTTAAGCGCTTATTTTTTTCATAGTTCTAAGCTCTAGAGCATGCTTTATATACACTCACACACACACACACTCATACACACACACATACACCTCTATATATATATAGCTTATATAATATTTATAGCTACGTTCATGATCTTAACATATATATAATACATATATATCAATATATATATATATATATATATACATATATATATTTATATATATATATATATATATATAGAAATATATACAAAATTTATTTTTTTGCATTTAATGAAACAATTTTTTATTTTATTAACAAGTTTTTTGAATTCCTTTCGCTTTGGTTTTTTAAGCATGTAAATTATTATATAAAGAAGAAGAAGAAGAAACATATGTGTATATATATACATGCCAGCAACGTACGCAGCAGACACGTTGTAAAATTGAATAACAAATAAAATATATAAAATCAAAAAAAAAAAACAGTTTTTAGCGCAAATTGAAACTAACAAAGATTAATCAAAGCATTTAATGTTAAAAAAAAAAAAAAAATTGGACGCAATTTTTAATTTACAGTTATTATTTTTTTTAGCAACGCCTGAAAAAATTAAAGAAAATATATCTAAACTAAAAAATAAATATATATTAAAATAATTATTATGTAGCCAAATAGTTGAGCATAAACGCACACATACACACACACCTATACATATATATATATATATATATATATATATATATATATATATATGAAATGTTCTGCTACATATATATATATATATATATATATTTCTTGCTTTATGCTTTGTTGCGTTATTCGTAAACGTTTGAAGCATTGAATCAGCATTGCAACTGTTTGTTTTTCTTTGTTATGCCTAACGTTAATGTTGTTGCATTTGTAAGCACTACACACACACAGACAAGCACATGTATATATATATATATAAATATATATTTACATATTTATATATATATGTATATAAATTACCTTTTGTCGCGCATTTTAAGGCTTGTTTTTGCAGCTTTTCAGGCCCAGCTTATGCTACACACACACACACACCCAAGTCTTCCGCACTTCTTTTCTGTTTCCTTCAGTTGCCTTTTTTTAAAAAGAAAAAATAAAACAAATAACTTTTGTTGATGTGCATGGAACGCGTTGTTGAAGCAATAGCAAGCAGCAGGAGCCAGGAGCAGCGTCTGCCAATTGGATAAACATTGATGCGCAAAAGAAATGTACAAAAGAGCTAAAAAGAGAGCAACAACAAATTTAATATTTAGTACCTAAGCGAGTTCGATGTTAACTGCAATTGAAGTAGCAAAGTAACAAGTAACAAAACCTAAAAAATAAGGCCAAAAAAACTGAAAGAGAAAATTTTAGCTTCGGCTTGTCGAAGCGTTCAAAGCCCTTGCAGCCATAGCTATAGCAGCTTAATGGATATATCAGTTCGTATATATATAGGTATAAAATCAACAAATTTGTAGACTATATATATATTTATATTACAAAATCCAAGTCCAATTGATAGAACAACACTAGAGACAAACGAAAAAAAGCTCACGTTTCATACATGATCTAAAAATATGCTAAAAAAGATCGAAAAACCAAAGCTGACTGCAAAGGCATAAAGGAAATTAATAGCAACATTGAAGCACTGCCTGCCACGTACAGAAAGGGGGAGGAGAAGGAGAGAAGGAGAACGAGCGTAAGCAGCATAGCAGAGAGTTAGAGCGAGCGAGCGAGCGATAGTAAAGTGTAAAGAAGATAGAGCGAGAGCTGAACACTGGCATCAACAATTCTAAACATACACATATTTTTTGTCCTTTTAAATCATAAAAACCAAATTTTTTTTAAATTTAAAAATATACATAAAAAAGGAAACTAATTTTGTATATGAAATCTATTTTATATACTAAAAACTTAAAAAAAAAGAAACGAAAGAAGAAACAATATGAAATAAACCAAATTGTATTTGGCACCAATGTACACACACACACACACACACACACACACACACACACACACACACCTACACCTACACACACATACAAAAACCCCGCCCGTAAAAGCCCACAAATGGAAAAACTTCAAGAAAAGCCAATGGAAATGCAAAAAAAAAAAAAACAAAAAAAAACGAAAAACTTTTTAGCACCAAAACAAATCAACAAACAACAACAAGAAATCTCAACGACTGCGCACACAAAAAGTGAACAAATTTTTTATATTATATATATATCTATATATATATATATATAAAATTAAAAATTAAAAATTAAAAAACAATTGTAATTCTCTTAAGCAAAAACAAAAAACTATTTTATAAGCGTAAACCAAGCCACGAAAAATTGAACACAAAAAGAACAGAAAACCAGAACAGAAACTAACAAAAGGCTTGGAGGCCAAATTTTTCAGCAATACAAATAAAATAAATGTTAAAAAATAAGAAATAAAACAAAAAAAAGATAACAAAAGCGTAACAAGAAATTTATAGATAAATACATACATATATATGTACAAATACACGCACACATACACAGAATAAAGGAAGTAAGGAAGGAAAGCGAGAGACAGAGAGAGAGAGAGCGAGTCGTTTACACTGAGCGAAAAAGAAAATGTATTTTTTTTAACTACAAATCAGGAAAGGAAAAGTTTGTATGAAAGTTAAGCAAAAACGCAGAGGCCACGCCCCTCACACATACACAAACACACGAAGCGCAATATTTTATATTCTAAAAACAAAAATAAAAAAGAGAATTTTTTATTTTATATTTTTTTTTTAATTAAGTAAATGTACCTAAGAACAAGTTACAAAAAAAAAGTTGGTAAAAAAACTCAAAAAATATGTAAAATTTAAACAATCACAACTTGGGACGTCTTCGATTTGGTAATAAAAATAATATAAAAAGTAAAAAAAATTTGCATTAAAAATAAAATATTCAGTTATGAATATGATATATATATATATGTATATATATATATATATATATATATATATATATATATATACACGAACATATAGTATATAAACAATTAATTAAATGTGTAGCAAAACGTATAAAAAACAAAACGTATATACTTCTATTACTAATAATAATAATAATAATAATACATGAAATTGTTTTTAATGCTATAAGATTTATATATATAAAAAACAAAATGAAAATCAATAATTGACAGATAATGAAAGAAGAGAAAATAATAATAATAAAAAATTATTGTTAAAAAAATAGTAAAAAAATGTGTAAAAAAACGGAACTAAAATTTCAATTTTGTTTGGAATTGAATTCATTTTTTTGCACTTTTTCCAAAATTTTCCAAATTTTTGTTGTACTTATTTTTCTACACTGAAAAACCGCCTCAACCAAAACAAAATAAAAGTAAAAGTTGAACAAGAACAAGACGTAGACGTTGAAGTTTTTTAAGAGCATTTTTGAGAAATATTAAAAAAAAACGAAAACGAAAACGAATGCAAACAAAGCCGAACAATTTCAATCTGAACAAAACCTAAAGCCCACGAAACATAAATATATATATATATATCTATATATATGTATATATGTATATATACATATATATACATATATATATATATATATATATATAAAGATATATAGAAAAGGAAACAAACAAAAGCAAAATCATATTTATATATATATTATGAATGTCTAGTCGTATTTTCAGTATTATACAAAAACAACTAAAACAAATTTTTGAAAAACAAAAACAATTAAGTGTGTAGTGTGTACAATAAAACAATTATTAAAAATATATATATATATAAATATATAAATATATATATATATATATATATATATATATATGGTAAACAATTTTTAGAAGCATTTTTAACATATGACATAAAACAAAATATAATAAAATAAATGTTTACATAATTAACATAAAAAAAATATATATACAATATATATACATATATATATATATATATATATATATATATATATATATATATATATATATATATATATATATATATATATATATATATATATATATATATGTATATGAATATGATAATGATATTAAACTATTAAACAACAAAAAACATAAACAAATTTAAACGAAATGTGTCTGTTTTTAGTGTTAGTCTCTGCCTAAGCTACCAATTAAATAAAAATTTAAAAAAAATTCGATGTGTGTAAAACTAAACAATAAAAATTATATGAAGAGAAAAAAGTGGAGTAGAAGGAAAACCATGTGAAAGAAAAATAAACTCGCGCTGCTGTTATACGTATTAATCACATTTAACACAAAATTATGTTTAAAAACAAAATCAAATAAATAAAACAAAACGAGAACAGAAAACTAATAACATCTTAATTTACATTTATCTTTAATTATTTAAACATTTAATCAGCAGCAAATGAATTAATTTTATATATTTATATCTGTATATTTAAAACTTAATTTTATTTGTAATTTTCTTGCTTTTATATAATTTAAAAAAGTTATATATATATATATATATATATATATATATATATATATATATATATATATATATATATATATATATATATATATATATAATATATTTACTATATTACTAAAAAACTACATATTAACAAAAATATATTTTGTAAAACATTTTTTTTTTGTCTTTGATTTGTTCGAGAAGCGGGCGAATTTTTGTGGTTCATATCAATAAAATAAAAAATTAATAAGAATTAAAGCAAACTAAAAAAAAGCATATATATATATATATATATATAAATATATATACATATATGTATATATATAGTTATAGTTTTATCTGTGTAAATGACATTGTAATTAAAAAAAAGAAAAATTTGCTCAAACTTACAAAAACAAAAACGAATGGGAAAAATATTCTTGGTAAAAATTTAAAAAATATATATATACTTCAGTTTTTATACTCTTTTTTTTGAATAGTTGAATTTTTTTAAATGTATTTAGTTTAACTAATCACAACTAAATTTAAAAAAAAAAAACAAAATCTTCTCTAAACTATTAAAAACAAAATACAATACATATATTACAATTCTTGATAATAAAAAAATATATATTAATTCATGTGAAACAAAAACAAAACAAAAAAACTGGAAAAAATTTAGTTTTTATTGTAATTCCGTGTCTGTGTGTGTATTTCAGTAATTAATGTAAAAAATACCAAAAAAATCGAGAGAAAAACAACAAAAAAAAACAATTTAAAAAACACAAAAAAATTGAAAAAATATTAAACACAAACAAAGAAAAACACTGAAAATAAAATATAATGAAAACTAGCGAAATAAATAAAGTGAAAAATATTTGAAAAAAAAATTAATTTTTTAACTCATTTGTGAATTGAGAAGGGCGGAGAGAGGGCGATAGAGATACGGGCACAGAAAGTGAAAGTGAATAAGGGAAAGAAAAAGAGTCAGATAAGGAGAGTGTAATGGATTTGTGATCCTATATATATTCCAGAAAAAAATATGGGTAACACAACCAAAATCAATTGAGTTACGCCAAAGTTGTGAACGGCCATTGGATTCATATCAAAAATTGATCCAGCTCTGACAGGAATAAGTAATTACTCCAACGAGGACTCGACAACATTTAAGTAGCCTAGGCCCCAGGCTCAAAATAAAAATCAAAGTCTTTTAATTTTGTAATATTCAATATTTATTATAAACTTTATATATAGTGTACATATAATAGTTAAGTTTAAAAAAAAAATGTGCATTTAAAACTAATTCAATGTCGATTCGATAAACTGAATTTTGGATACATTTATTTCGGATCTTTATTTTTGATCTTCTTGTTCTTCTTATTTTTGTTTTTAAATTTTTGAGAAAAATTGTAAAAAATTAAAAAAAATTTCCAATTTTCTTAATTTCATTTTGTTTGTCATGGAAGTGCATGATGTGTGTGTGGGTGAGTGTATACATATATATATTATATATATAGTTAAGGCCTTTAAATTACAATTTTCAATGAGTTTCATATGTTTTTTTAAAGCTAAAGCAGAAAGTTGAAACTAAGGCTGGAAGATGAACTAAATAGCTAAATGTTATGTAAATTAGGTATATATTTCATATATATATATATATATATATATATATATATATATATATATATATATATATATATATATATATATATATATATATATATATATAATCTTTAAAGTTAAGTATTCTTTACTTTTCTTTTGCTTTTGTTTCATTTTCTTGTCTTTTTTTTTACCAACACCAAGCGATTGCACAAATAACCCGTTGTTGCTTAAAAAACTATGCAAAAAAAAATAGTAATATTAATAATAATAATAATAATAATAATATATTTTCAATGAAACTTATTAAGCAAAATGCGTGTTCATAAAAAAATATTTAAACTTGCAGCTGAATTGCTGTTCACAAACAAAGTTTATTATATAGCTATACCTATATATATTTATATATAATATATATGTGTTTTGAAAATATTTCAAAAAATTAGCCAGCTTAAACTTTTGCTATATATATATATATATATATATATATATATATATATATATATATATATATATATATATATATATATATATATATATATATATATATATTTCATGATTCTTCAGTACAAATTGGTGGTTCGCTTCAGCTTGTTTTTAAATACAAAAAAACTAAAAAATAAAACATAAAAAAAATTAAACTAAATTCATTGAAATGCTTAGCTTATATATTATTTAAATATATATATATATATATATATATATATATATTTATATATATATATATAAATTTATGTATATATATATTTTATATTACATTAGATGTGTTTGTGCTTTGACTTCATTTATGAACAGCATAAATTAGCTTACATTTGTTTATTTTAGCTTAAAAAATTCCTTTTTTTGTGTTTTTAATGCCTCTTTACAATGAATTTGTCTTCTTTTTTTCTTGTTCAAAAACTCTATAAAAAAATAAATAGAATACAATATTTGTAGAGCTCTTAAGTTTCTAAGTGTTAGTACTTTCTCTCCTCCTATTCTTCTTCTTCTATATATATTTGATTGTAAATAAATGCAAGGTTTTTGCAGCTTGTTCATTTAGCTATAGAAAAAACACTAAAAACTGTAAATGATGAATCGATAACTCACAATCGACGACAATCGATAATTCATTTTTATTTATGTTTCTATTTCTCTTTCTTGTTCTTGTTCTCAGTTGCTTAAAGCATTCGAAACTTAGTTTAAAGCTTAAAGAACTACAAAAAATATTTGTTTCGAAAAAAATGAAATAAAATAAACTTTTGACTAAGCGCATAAAATTAGTTTTTGAGAAAAAATAACTTAAGATCTATTAAGTTTTGCTTCTTCTTCATATTCAACTAAATTAATATGATAATTATTTTTCGAAATTGTTCTTCTCTTATCGAATTTTGCTTAATTTGTTTTCTTGTTTTTTTTTTTTTTTTTTTTTTTTTTTGCACAGCAAAGCGAAAATGTGTTTTCCATTTCGAAATTCTTGAGCTAAACTAAAAATTAAATATTTTGCTTTGTTCTCTATCGATTAGGTGTCTAGCAACTAAATGAGATATAGATATGAATACAGATATATATAAATATATATATGATGTGTGTGTGCGTGATATAATGTTGTATTATAAATGTACAAAACATAATCTCTCCATTTTCGTGGGGGCAGTTTTCATAAAACTTCAGCTTAAAGTTGAATTTGCATTTACGTTTTTTCTTTTCAGTTAGTTTACCTTAGATCTTAAGCTAAGTACAGCTAGTTCATATTGTATATATATTGGTATATATATATATATATATGTATCTCTACAGTTTAGTTGGTTAGTTAGTTATGCACCGGCATCGGCAACTGGCCGAGCAAATTGTTCGCGAACTGCGAATTGGTGAACTTGAAGTGACGTTTGTCGTAGAACTTAAGCAGGGCCGGCGAAAACGGATGATTGTCCTTCAGGTGCAGATAATGGACCTCCGGTTCGCAGGTCGTGTGGCCGCATTCCTCGCAAACGTACATCTGAAACGACCACGAAGAAGAGAAGCAAGTTAATACAAAAGTGTTGCATATGTTAAGGCTTAGCTTGATTCGTAGTTCGGTTCAGTCTCAGCTAGTTCCAACTAAATTGCTTGTTCTTTGAGTTAACGAATCTGTTTCTATGTTAATTTGTGCTGTATATCAAGAAGATCATGATTTGAACTAGTTCCAGCAAGTAGTTCCCTCTACTAATAACTAATTAAACGAGACTAGCTCACTTTTGTGCTTTACATTTTTCTTGGAATGAACGCTCTCTGAACCTGTTCCAAGTGCCAACTGCTTTTTGGCTGATATATATGCTGATGTTCTGAACTAGTTCCAAGCCCGTCATTTTTTCTTTATATGCTGATTCGCTGAGCTAGTTCCGAGCAACAAACACACTGCTCAACCAGTTCCACACTCCAAGGGAAGTGGTTCAAATAGATGAATCTGGCACACATGACATTTGCCCTGATTATTCAGTGGTTTTCGGAAGCACCTATTTATAATTGTGTTCTTACCTTGGCGCGTCGCTCCTTGTAGGCATACTGATGCTGCACACTGTGCACCTTTTGGCAATGCGACTCTAGGGAACAGCGCTGCGTGAAGCTCTTCTCGCACAGGTTGCACTTGTAGGGACGCACGCCCGTGTGGGTGCGCGTATGCCGCTTCAGGTCGAAGGTGTCATTGAAGCCCTTGCCGCAGAACGTGCACAGATACCGCTTGATGTCCGAGTGGCACTTCATGTGCCGATTGAGCAGACGTTGCAGCGAGAAGGTCTTCATGCAGACACGGCAAACGAACTTGTTGTTGGCATCCTCGGCGCCACTGTTGTTGCTGGGGCAGAGCGAGTCGCCTTGATTGCTGCTGTTGCTGCTGACACTGCTGCTGCTATTGTTGTTGCTGTTGCGATGATGACTGCTGCTGCCGTGCTGCTGTTGTTGCTGTTGCTGCTGCTGACTGAGTACCAAATGCTGTTGCAGCGACTGTTGCTGCGGTGAATGCTGCTGCTGCTGCGGCGAGTGTTGTTGCTGCTGCAGCAACTGTTGCTGCTGGTGTTGCTGTTGCAGCGACTGTTGCTGCTGCTGCTGTTGTTGCTGCTGTTGCTGCTGCTGCTGCTGCTGACCATGCTTGAGATCTTCGATGCAATCCATATTGCTGCGTATGCGATGATGATGATGTCCTCCATGCGTGTTCTCCACGGCCAGCGGATTCTTAATGCCATGGCCTCCATTCACGAACTCCAGCTGCAGATCGGGCGGCAGACCCAACTAAAGGAAGCACAAAAACATTGAAAGATGCGTTAAGATTTGATTAAAGACATATTAGAGCTACATGTCTAGACAGCACAAGACAACAACAAAACATTTAACACTTGACAACGAACGGGAAGTACAGCTACGATGAGTCACAATTAAATCTGTTTCAAGCAACCTAACAGCAGGCGAAGAGGTTTTCATAAATATGACATTATATATATATATATGTATCTGGATCAACATCTATATAAAGATAGATCCATATAGTTTGGTAAATATCTATCTTTATCTATCTAATGGCAGATCTAAAGAGATCGCTATCTATATAAAGACAGATCTATATAGTGCAGTATATATCTATCTTTATATTTATGTATATGTATATCTATATATCGATTGATCTATAGAAATATATTTTTCACAACATCTGTTAATATCAATAGATGTGCTGAATCTATAAATCTTTATCTATATTTCCTACATATCTAAATATTTATTCATCAATATTTCTCATATATACAGACTATGATGTATCGATAAATCTATGTCTGTCAATCTATAAATCTATATTCCAAATTATTGCTATATCTAGGCATATGTTTTACATCTATATATCGCTATAGCTGTTAATCTGTAATGTATCAATTTATGATCAATTATGATCTATCAACTCAATTCTCAATCTCAATTCTCCTATATGTCTGACCATAATATATCTATGTTTATAATGGAATGTATATCAATAGATACAGATCTGTTATTAATATAGATCACTTTTGAACATATCTATATATCAATGCACGTATATCTTTAGTTCTATTAGCATATAAATATGGATTCTTCAACAACTTTTATAATTCTCTTTCTAATTTGAATCGCAATTTTAAAGCGATAAAAACTATCGAAGATGTTACAGCACTTATAAAATTTATCCAATATTTCAAGACATATGAAATTCTGTTAATATTTCAAATTTAGCTATACAAAAGCTATATCCTGAGGATCTATGATGAAAACTAACACACAGAGAGATATGAATTAGCCTTTGATATGGATCCAGCATACATATATGTTTGTATAATATATAGCTTATAATGTCTTCATACATATTAACATAGAGTTGACATTAAACAAAGGACAGCACAGTACAACGGGACGGCAACAGAAACAGAAAAGGGACGGACATACTGAACGAGAGACAGAGACAAAGACATGACAGGCTTAAGGGGGAGGCCATGTAAGGGGGCCACATTAAGGCCCCCTCATTGGCCTGGTCTTCGGCTCTTACCAGCCGCTGCAGCATCTTGCTCTCATTGATCACCGAAATGGTCGACGATGGCGGCAACAGACCCGCTGCTGCGGCCGCCGCTTCGCTGGCAAGCGAACGCAGTGTGGCCCGATGGACCTGCCGCTGGGCGGGCAACTCTGGCGATGGCCTAACTGTAGAGTAGATCGTGACCACAGTGGAGCCATAGGTAGCGGCCTTTGAGCGGCCGCCTAACTTTGAAATGTTATTGCTGTTGCTGTTGCTGCTGCTGCTGCTGTTGCTGCTGTTCGATTTGATGCTTAAATTGCAGATGTTTTTGCTGCTGCTGGTGCTGCTGCTGCTGTTGCTGTTACTGTTGTTGGTGCTACTGCAATAGTTGCTGCTGTTGAGCAGCATGTAGGTCACCGACTCAGCTGGTGACTCGCTGTTGTTGCTGTTGCTATTGGGCTTTAAGATATTGTTGGCACTTACGCTTTGTATCAGCGGCTTGGTATCGAGCAATGCGGCAGCAGCAACTGCCGCTGTATTCGCATCGAGCAGATTGGAGCTGCTACTGCTGCTGCTGGACATGGGTCGCAGTGCGGCAACAGCAGCAGCTGCTGCTGCTGCAGCTGCGGCAGCTGTCGTTGGCGACGGCAGCGACAGATTGCTGTTGTCGTTGTGATGATGATGCTGTTGCTGCTGTTGATGTTGATGTTGCTGCTGCTGTTGTTGGTGTGCATGTTGCTGCTGCTGCTGCTGGTGTGAGTGTTGCTGATGTTGCTGGTGTGCATGATGGGCATGATGTTGTTGCTGCTGATGGAAATGATGCTGTTGCTGCTGCTGCTGCTGTTGGGCATGATGCTGCTGTTGTGCATAGAGATTATGTTGCTGATGGAAGTGTTGCTGCTGCTGCTGTTGCTGCTGCTGCTGTTGTTGCTGATGGTGCGTGTGATGTTGCTGTTGCAGCAATTGCTGTTGCTGCTGTGCCAGCTGCTGCTGATGGTAGCTGTTGCTGTTGTTGTTGTTGCCGCCGCCATTGTGTTGCTGCTGCATTTGCAACAAGTTGCGCGTGGCGTGCTGATACGAGGGTGGCGGCTGTTGCAAGTGTTGCTGTTGCTGCTGCTGCTGTGCATTGACAACATGCTGCTGCAAATGCTGCTGCGCAACATGTTGCGGCGCATTGTAAACATTGTTGCCGCCGTTGTTATTGCTGTTGCGCGTCATATTGTTCGTCAGCTGCGTCAGCAGATTCTCGTGCAACGCATCCAATTGGGCTGCCGCATGCGGCGTCACCGACACAGCATCCGAGTCAGGCGTCAGCGACGGCGTCGAAACCAATTCAAAGTCCGCTCGCTGATGGTGGGCGGGGCTGTTGTTGTTCGTCGAGTGTTCGTCATCGTCGTCGACATCGACGCAGCCGCGCTGCAAAAACGAACTGAGATCCACAGCGTCCGACAGCTGCTCGAGCAGATGATCCGTCTGGGAGCTGAGCATGAGTGTAGCGGTAAATTGTAGAGGATCAACGCTGCCAGCATTCGTGCATTGACCACCGCCGCCGGCGCCGCTGCCAGCCAAATCGTTCATAATCGCATCCTCATAGGCGCTGGCCGCAAAGCTATTGCCCGACGCAGCAGCGGCCGCTGCCGCAGCGGCAGCCGCTGCTGCCGCGCTGCCAACCCCGCTGCCCATTGTCGCCTGTATGATATTTTGGGCGAACGTTCCAATATCGATCTTGGCTTCGTCGTATTCGATGTCGGGCTCATCTTTCAATATGATGCCATAGGCTGAGGGATTGCCGCCATAGAAGGGATGACCATTACCAATCGTTCCAGCAGTGCCAGTTGAATGTAAATGATGGAATTTGGAATTGGAATTGGAATTGATATCATTATAATTGCTATGGCCCAAATTGTTGGCAAAGTTCAAAATGTTATTACCATCGATACCAACAGCGCCTGCTCCACCAGCTCCACCTCCTACACCACCGGCTCCGCCGCCGCTGCCGTCTCCGCCACCCCCAACGCCGCCTCCACCTCCGCCTCCATTACAGTTATACTGCTGATTGGACATTAGATAAGCTGCTGCAGCTGCGTTTTGTATGAGAAACTGCGAATTGCTATGCGCATCAACAGCGACGCCGACGCCGCTGCCACTGCCGCTGCCGCTGCCGCTACCGCTGCTTTGGCCACTCTTTAGGCTCTCGTAAAATGGCGGCAATGCGCCGCTGGGCGGTGAATTAGGTCCGTAATTGCCGCGTCCGTCACGGCCGCCGCCCATACCACCACCGCCGGCGCCGCTACCAAAGCTGCCGCTTCCGCTACCGCCGCCGCTGCCAGCGCCACTACCAGCTCCGCTGCTACCTCCGCTGCTGCCGCCGCTTCCTCCGCCCTGGCTAAAGCCGTTGCTCGCCTGAAAGCCTTGGCTGCTATTGCTGCTGCGTCCGTGTCCAGCGGCCGCTGCCAATATGCCCGGCAGGCTGCGCACCAAACGCGGATTTAGCTGCAGTACGCGCGCTGCCAAATAGCTGCTGCGGCGCCGGGCCTCGCGTACGCGTCGCGCACGCTGCAGTCGCCGAGCGTTCAGCTCGTCGTCGCTGTCGTAGCTGGCGCTGCGTTGACGCGGCACGTGATAATCAATTGGCTCCTGTTGCTCGGGTCCCAACTGCTCTAAGTCAAGCGTACGCTGGTATAACAGTTGCTGCTGCTGTTCCCGTTGCTGCTGTTGCTGCTTGTATAGCAGCTCACTACTGTTGCTGCTTTCGCTGCTCTGCGGCGCTCGTTGTATAACGCTGCAGCGAACTGCGGGTATGCGCGGCGGCGGTGGACTCGGTCGCTGCTCTGCTGTTGGCGGGCTGCTGCGCATGCGCAGCGACAGAGGCTGTTCGATTGGTAGCAGCGGCTTTTCGTCCACAATCAATTTGCAGCCGTCATCGGAGTCGCTCTCGTCCGTATCGCTGCTGCTGTTGCTGCCGCTGTCAACGTCAACGTCCGCCTCAGCGCTTTGCACTTTCTCTTTGCTAAGGCGTTCGTGTGGATATTCTTTGCGCTGGGCTTGCGTTAGAACAACGCCAGCGCCGTAATAACGTGGCTTTGGCGCCTCAAGGCCAACGTCGACGTCAACGTCAACGTCGGCTTCGTCTTCAGCGTCGCTGCTGGCTTGCGGCGCACTCTGCTTTGGGCTCTGTTCGTTTTCTTTTGGTATGCTGCTTGTTGTTGCTGTTGGTGGTGTTGTTGTTTTTGTTGTTTCTGTTTCAGTTTCTGTTTCTGGTTCTACCTCAACTTCTACTACTACTTCTACTTCTCTTTCTACTTCTGCTTCTACCTCTCCTACTTTTGCTGTTAACGAATTCTCGTCGCAGTCTTTTGTGGCTGTTGCGGGTGGTGATGCTGCTCTATTAATGTTAATGTTGCTGTTGCTGTTGGTGGTGGCTGTTGTGGTGGTTGTAGTGGTGGTGGTGCTAGAGGTTTCCGCTGTGGAGCTGTTGCTGTTGCTGTTGCAGCTAAGGCGCTGCAACAGTTCTGCTGGCGTTAAACAATCGTTATTTTCTGCAAATAGCCAAAAGAGAAATAAAGATATATATTAGTCAAAAGCGCAACAGTTAAAAATATGTACGTATACATATATATATATATATATATATATATATATATAAAATATATTTGTATGCATTCATTGGTGCTGCATGCTCATCATGAGTTTTACATTCTTGACGTTATAAAGCAAAACCCAACGGCATTTGACCGAAACCGAAAAGCGCAAAGGAACAAAAAAAAACGGAAACTTAAATAATTAAATAACGAAATCGAAACCGAAATTAATGTCGAAAGACGAGCGACAAGAATTAACCGTGCATTCGCCACAACGATCGTTTGCTAACTGTAAGCGCATCATCTCCTTCTTACTCCTTCACATACATTTGGACACACAAACACAAGTGAAGTGTAAGAAATACTCAACAAAAAAGTATGTATTTTGTCGCTATGATCTTCTAATACAGTGAACACTCGCAAATAAGAAATAGTCAAAGAAATTCTTATTGATTGTTAATATATTTCGGTAATCAACTCATATACAGAATATTCTAAAGATCAACAATTAATTGTATTTCATTTGAAATATTCTTTTTTTAATTATTATTATATGTTTTTCGTAACATCTTTCTCGCCGCTACTCTTTGTTTTCACTGTGCCAATTCGCACAAATGCTATGTGTGTGTGTGCACAAGTGCCTCTGTGTGTGTGTGTGTACACAAGTGCCTCTGTGTGTATGCATATCTTTTGCCTTGCTTAATTTCTATTTCGTCAAAAAAAAAAAACAGATCTAACTGTAATTGCAAGGAGTTGCCAGTTCGTTGTAAAAATGTTGCTAGGAAATGCTTCAACGCCTACACACACAAAGACGTTGACAGAGAAGGCACAGAGCTTGCACTAACTCTAGAGTTAGATGAAGAATCATTAATTGATTTAGCAGATAATTGCCTTATTTACAATCAACAGTGGCATTTGATTTTTATTCGAATTAATCTTGACAATTTTAAATTTAATTTATGTTTGCCTTTAGCCCCCTTATCGAAGTTACTAAAATTCTGGCGCCGTCCTTGTTCACATGCGCTCACAGACAACCATTTGCAAGCATACATGTGAATAATTCTATGCATTTATACATGTGTCTGCGGCGTCTTTAGTTTTTGCGCCTTCCCTTTCTTGCAGAAATTATGTCTAAAAAAGGCGAATACGCAGTTACGCGACCAAGCGCGATGTGCGCGTGCATTAAAATTTGTCGAGTTGAAATATTATGAGTAAATTAATTATATAAATTGTGATATGTATGTATATGTTAAAATCAGTAATGTTTAATTTTCTTTTTTTTGTTTGCGAATTAAATGTGAAGAGCAAGTGCAAGTGCGAGGCGCCGCTGCAATCGCTTTTGCCGTCGACTCGGCGTTAAACCAGGCAAAGACAAGGTTGGTAAACAACAACAAAAAACTTGCCTTGGCTGTAAATCAAATCAAATCAAGTGCAATAAATAATAGAAACAACAATTACAACAACAACAACAACTATTCCTATTGCAATGGCAATCAAGTTGGCGTCAACGTCGCTGCCTTTGCTGTTGGCGGCCGTCGATTAAATGTATGTTTGTGTGTTTGTGTGTGTGCTTGTTACGTTCATGCGATCAAGATCAAGGCTTTTTGCAATTGCTTTAAATAGGTGTTTGTGTGTGTGTGTGTATGTGTAATGCAGCGGCATTTGTCAATGAACAAGTTTTGTATGCGTAGGTGTTGTTGCTGTAAAGCCCTTCATAAATACACGCACACATTTAATGGCATGCTGAGCGCGCGATACCCATAATTACACACATATGGCAACACTGTCATATATACATGTGCCTGTGCGCTTGCAATTTCAAATGCCCAACACGCATACAGCTGCGCTATCTTTGGTGCATAGTGCTGTCAGCTTTTTTAACAGCAGCAGCTAGTTCTAGAGTGAAAAAGCTAAATTGTAAATAAAAAGCTAAAAATATTTTCAAATTCTTCTCTTATGGTTAATGAAGTAAAATCGAAATCTAAATTTCAAAAATAAAAAAAAAATTGAAAAGAATGATTTGAAGAAAAGCTAAGTTAAGCTAAGAACTGTCAACACTTTTGTTGCTTTAATCAAATTCTAACTCTCGTCTGCCATTTAACAGCGTGCGGTGCTGCACAGCTAACAGCTAGTGCAGCCTTGAGCGTACTCACAGCCGTTTAACATTTCGACGTTCAAATTGTTTAACATAATTGATTACTACAATTGCTTTGGCACATTTAAACGCACATTTCGTTATGGTTATGCATACATACAAACATGTGTACATTCATATATATTTAATTTGATTTAAATTCACTTAAAATGTTGTCTTTGCCATAATAACAACGCAAGCCACGCCCAGCAGCTGCCCACGAGCAAGCAACAAACACACATATGCATATTCTGTTAACTTAACACGCCTGCAATTTATCATGATCAACAGTATAGCGAGCTGTTAAATGGCTTGGCTATGCCTTACCAGTTTTCCAGCTTTCCAGTTTCAGTTTCTGTTGTTGTTGTAATTGTCGTAATTAGTTTTTATTGTGTTAAGGTCAAGGCAATTGCTTCAAAATGCTTCATAATTACAAATGCGAAAAAAAGTGTTTGAGGAAATGAAATATTTTTTTTAAATATTTTTTTAAGTGTAATTATAACAGAAGCATTGAACGACACATATATAACAGAGCTGTAGGAAAGTTTTGTGTCTCTTTTGCTTTTCTTTGCTCCATTTCACATCTACCCAAGTTCAATGCACGTTTTATCCTTTACATTAATCGACTTCTATTTCTTCATTTATTTCTATTTATTCTATTTATTTGTTTGCTGCGTGTGCTTGAACTTTTAAGATATTCTTGTTATCTGTTTTTTGTTTTGTTTTATTTTTTTTTGCTTTTCGCCTCACTTTGGTCTAGCGCAAAATGCGTCTTAACGAAACACCACAAACGCACACACACACACACTAAAGCGATAGTCTGTGCGTATGTGTGTGTGCGTATGTTAATGTGCATAACAAAGCGTCGCAGTTGTTGTCCAGAATTTGTAATATTTTTTTTTTTATTTTGCGTCTTCTTTTGTTATTGTTTGTTTTACTCGTTGCTTTGCTGTGTGCTTCATGCAGCGGTTAATGTTAAGCAATTAACAGAGCTCGCAACATATTTAAGCTAACGCTTTTTATTTTAATTACTGTAAATGTTGTATAGCAGAATCATGGTATAATAGTATGAAAGTTTAACAGTATAGCAGTATACCTGAATAACAGTATAGCAGTATAACAGTATAACAGTACAACAATATAACAATATAACAGTATAACAGTATAACAGTATAACAGTATAACAGAATAACAGTATAACAGTATAACTGTACAACAGTACAAGAGTATAACAGTAAATCAGTATACCAGTATAACAGAATAACAGAATACAGTATAATAGAATAACGGTATAACAGTATATAACTAGTATAATATTACAATACAATATTATAATAGTACAACAATATTGAATTCGTATTGTATAGCTGCAAAACTGGGTAACATTATTATCTCATAATATCTTAGTACAGTAGAACAGTTCCAGATTGAGCCGCTTTTCAGTATATTCCAACTGCGTATGGCTTTTGCTTCTATTCTATATGCGGGTGTTGTCATTCTTCTTCTTCTTTCTGTTCTTGTAGACCTTTTTCTATTTGTGTTATGTAATTCACGCACGGCTTACGAGCAACAGCTACGCAACAGATCGCCAACTGTTGTGTGTGAAACCACGGAAAAAGCCAACATTGAAATATTTTTTTTCTGAGATGAGATGTGTTGTGGTTGTTGTTTTTTTTTTTTTTTTGTTTTCTACAATTGTTACTGTTACTGTTATTGTTGTTGTGGTAGTTGTCGTTGTTGTTGTTATGTTGAGGCGAATTCCAAACGCATTCTCTGGCTAACTTACATGTTGAATTCCCGGCATGCACGGCGAATGACGACACACCTCTATGCGTCCCATCTATCAACCTAAAAGCCTAGCCCAAGCACAGCACACAAATCTTCTCGTTGTTGTTGTTGTTGTTCTGTGTGCCATTGCAAATGCGAAACACGTCGCCCAGCGGCTCTACCCATATATAAACTATACACACACACACACACACACATACACACAGACAAACATTGTAAGCAAATAACATGAGCAGCTTCTCCAAGGGACGCCTCAACTAGAAAGGGTTAAAAGCTTCTATTGGCAGAGTTCATGTTCCACTTTCTAGCAATTGATTGCCTTAAAAGTCGGCTCAGATCGTGATATATATATTATGTTTTAGAAACATTGTTATACAAGTATATTCATGTTTGTAGCTTTTGTAGTTCTATGGATAAGTTTCTATTATTTTTCCTCAACTCTATACTAAACTATTATAGATCTGCCCTTTATATAATTTGCTAGCTATATAGAGTTATCTATGTATAAAATTGTCATCTATAACATTTCCAAATTCGTTGGCTTTTAAAGCAATTCAGTTACTATGCTTGGTTAAAGCGCTGAAGTCTGCTTGTTTTGGGTTAAGAAATTGCAAACAATTTAGTTAGCGTTTAGACGGTTCAGCACATTAAATAATTGTACATCTTTTATATAATCCGTAAACTTAACCCTGAAACTAAACAAAACACGCGTTGACATCTTGCACAAAAAAAAAGACAAAAAAAATACGTAAAAACTAACTAAAACGCTAACCACCCACTTGTCCAGTTATTTAATAGAGCATGAAAAGCACGCAACGCTTGACAGCCAAGAGGAAGAGCCAGAGAGAGAGAGGGCGAGTTCGGGGGGGGGGGGGGGAGGGAGAAGTATTGCTAGCTAAATTGAATTTGATTAACAGTTGCGAACTAATATAGTTCGAGCTAAAGCTACAGAGCACCTATAAAAATATCAACAAATTTACAGATAAATGAGTTAACAGTCAACTTAACAGCAACTGAAAGCTTGCACATAGCTGCT